CCCCCTAGTGAGGTAGGTAGTGGAACACTCAATCCCAACCCTAGTCTCATGAATGCTTCCATCGAGTGTAAAGCCGCAAAACTTCCCTGCCAAAGAGGCCAAGTCGTCGAAGAGTGCATAGCCGATGATACGCCACGCTCCCGAATGCTTCCTCCCGAACCAAAATCCATTGCATTACAAACTTCTACTAGGTTTCCTCCGCTCGCTCTCTGCCTAAGAGCTGCGGTGCTCCTCTAATTCGACACCCCTAGAATCCGTCAAGGTTGAGTGGCTCCAGTCGGTTCGAGCCTCGTGATAATTAGAATTGTTGACCGAGACCATTCTTGGACTGTCTTTTGCTGAACCGATTACGCTTGGTAGTGGAAGCCGAATCCTCCAGGCTGGCCTGGCTTTTGCTGAGATGGTTCCGACCGGACCGGTCGCTGACGCTGAAGCCGTCGGGGTACACTCCTCGGCCACCAAGAGTACTAGCTGGGCTCGACACCGTGGACGAAATATCAAAACCGTTGTCGCCGGCATAAGAAACAGAGAGGTTTTGAGACAATGCCAATTCCTTGGCTCTTTCCAAAGACTCTATCCAGTCGTCGGCTGTGGTGCCGTTCTCTGCAGAGCCGGAGCTCCCCTTGGGCTCCTCAAATGTGTAGTGTACGCCACCCTGTCGGATTTTAGATGAGCGGCGAGACTTCTTGTCCAGGATACTTACCGCATCGACACACCATACAGTTTGGCCCTTCACGTCAAGCTGCGTCCTCCAGGTGCATTCGGGGGCAAGCAGTGAAATCTCTTGCTTGGCGCGCTTTTCTTCTCCGCCAGCCGGCGCCATCAGTATACGACCGCTCGAAGTCACCATTACCAACCTCTGTCTCTTCTTGGTTGTACTTCCACCAAAGAACCTCGAGAGCTTCTTGTGTCCCTCAATGTGCTCGGCACCCCTGCCGTGGCCACTCGGCAGGGGGCTCGAGACAACCATCAAATCACCGAGTTTGAGGATTCTCTCATTGTTCTTCGTTAAGACTGGGGACCACTCAATATCCAGCTGGGTCGGAGGAGGAAGTTCCGTGATGATTCTGGCCGGTCGGGCGGTGCCGTTCAGGGCTGAAGTTTGCGGCTGAGAGCTTCTGGGCGGCGCTGTAGGGTTTGTACTGTTCCCCACGCCATTAAGTTGAATCACAGTCTGTTCTTGAGGCATGGGATTATAAGGTCGAAGCCGTGGAGCCTTGGTTCTCCATAGGCCCTTGCCAAACGGATGTCCGTCAAAGAATTCGTGGTTTTTGATGTGCTCGACAGTAAGACGACGCGCTGGATCAAGGACCAAGCACCTCTCCACTAAGTCGCGAGCTGCTGGCGGAAAGGCGGTGGGGAAGTCGTACTCCAGGTTGACGATCTTCTGAAACGTGAGGTATTCCGTCGCGGCCTTGAAGGGTGGACGACCTGCCAATAGCTGATATACTATGCAGCCGAAAGCCCATAGATCGCTCGCCTTGCAGGCGTTTTTGCTCGTCAAAAGTTCGGGGCTGACATACTCGGCAGTGCCCACGAATGAAGCCGCCCTATTGTCGTCGTCAGCGTCGCTGCGAGCGCTCTCCGGCAGTCCCCGCGCGCTTTCGCCGGCGTTCTGCGGCTCTCTCGGATCCTTGAGTAGCTTGGCTGTGCCAAAGTCTGTGATCTTCACGTGCATATGGTCGTCCAACAGGACATTCTCTGGTTTGAGGTCGCGGTGAATGACTCCTCTTGAATGCATATAGTCGATGGCGTCTAGTATTTGGGCACTGTAGAACCTCGTGCACTCCAGATCAAAGGAGCCAGTCTTTTTCAGCACTCCTAGCAGTTCGCCGCCGTTGCAAAGGTCGAGGACGTAGTATAGAGATGCCTCGTCCTGGAATGTGTAATACAGGCGCACGATACCCGGGTGTTCGGTAAGACGGTTCAAGGTATTCTTCTCGATGTTGACGTACTTGATCTTCTTCTCCTTGATGATGTGCTTCTTCTCGAGGACTTTGATGGCGTACTCTTTGAGAGTTTGTCGATCAGTGGCTAAATAGACCGTACTATACGAACCTTCTCCGAGCACACGGCCAAAGGCGAAGTCTCTAACTCCCTTCTTGACATGTCGAATGACCGTCTTGCCGTTCGAATCTGTTTCCCTCCGCACACCGACAGCGGCACCACGGTCTTTCCACTCCTCGCTACTGGTCGGTAGCGGCGCCTCTGGTCCATAAGCGTCTTGCGGGCCCGACGGCGCTGCTGTTGCCGAGACATATCCACCGCCCATGCCTTTCGAGCTCCTCCGTGGAGGCAAGGTTCCAGAACCAGGAGGCAACTGAGATTGACGGACCGGGTTTGCCGGCGCTCTGTAACTTGGTTCCCTTGTTGGTGTTGAGCTGCCTGGATAACCCTGGGCGTGATTAGAATCCTGCCTCGCGAGCATTCCATAGACAGAATTCCGCGACCGGTCGCCCTGGGGTTGCGGTTGATGAAGCGGATGTCCTTCTTCAGGTGCCACGGACTGATGACTGTATAGTGCAGAGATAGGGCGCGCTGTCGGTGAAACGGAAGAGCGGCTCCCTGGAGCTCTGTCGAGGTCGGAGTATGGAGAGACGGGCTGTCGGTAGACGTCTGCTCGCATTTCGGCACTGGGGCTCGTTCGGCGGGGTTCGGCAAGGCTTGGCGAGCCATCATAGGCCGGGGACGCTCTCCCGGACGCGGACGATTGTGTGTGAGATATGGGAGACAGCAAGGTGTCTGACGCGGAAGTAGACCCAAACGGACTTGGGGATGTTTGTGTGGTCGGTTCCTCGAGGGGTACTAGATTGGGATGGGCGTCAGGTTGATATTGATGCTGTTGTTGACGGCCATGTTCTGGTTGCCGGTCGGTGGATGATGGTGCGTCGGCAGCATCTTGGGGGTCGCTTGGAGAGGCATCGGCGTCATCTGGATTGGCTATTCGTAGTCCCCCGAGGGCCCTCGATAGACTGAGGTCCCCATTCATGATTTGTGTTCAAGTCAGGAGAGGGCAGGTGGGAAGGGGAGGGGTGGAAGAAGAGGGAGAGACAAGGTCGGAATGAGGGCGACAGAATGACGATGGCAGAGATTGATATGGGCAGGAGTGAAGGTGACGTGGTGGTGAAGATGAGGTACGAGTGTGGGTATGTGGCTCGGGATGCCTCATGAGATGGCCAAGTGAGGCGAGTTAAGGAACGACGCGGCGCAGCACAACAAAAAGCGGATGCGAGATGAGTGAGGTCGTCAGTCCAGCGCCGGAGAAGGTCAGGCAAGGGTAAGACTGGACAGCATCGGAGTCCACATCGACCACCACACAACGTCCCGTCCAGGCAGTGCAGGCAATTGCTGGTTCGGATAAGGATAAGGCGAGGTGGTGAGGTAGAGTAGGGTAGGTAGGTAGGCAGATCCGATTCTGCAGGATGTGTTGCGGAGGGAGGTAGGTACGTGTGCAGTCTGGTGCAGCTTGGTGCAGTTTGGCACACTTGGGTCTCTCCATCATCTCCATCCATAAATTTAGTAAAGGTAATCCACCCGCCCAAAAAAAAAGGCGCCTAAGGTACCGCGTACCTACTAATTACGTAGTCGCACAGTGGTAGGCCCCATTAATTGCAGCGATGGCAGGACATGGTGGCAGCGCCTTAAAAACTGGCATTCAAGCACCCCGGTACATTTGTCCCCTGAATAAGTATACTCAGTTTTGGCCTTAGGTACCTTGGACTTGGGAGCTCCATGTCCCTTTAGGCCTGGCTGGTGAAGACTCCACAGATCTAGGTAGGTGGACGAGGATGCCTACCAATCCCCGGTGTTCAAGAGGTGATGCCGGACGGGGGTGGATAGACCCCCTTTCTCCCACCTCCAGTTTCTACGTGTGGTAGGGTACAGACTGCCGTATCTACCTTGACCTCAGCGCTTCAGCAGTCAGCACCTCCCATACCCAGATGGGACTACACATTTTCTCCACCAGTCCAAGACAGATTTGCCGCAGGCCCGTACGAACCCGAACGCCTACTCCCGAGGACCGATAAAGTTCCGTCCTTGCCTTCTTCCATCTTTTCCATGCTCATCCAGCTCACGGCCTTGATCTTCCTCCTCCACCGCCCTATCCGCCACCATGTTGCGAAGCTCTGTGTATAGAGCTGGCACCCGGGTGCTTCATACCTCAAAACCTACGAGCTCATCATCATGCTTCTCTACTATCGCGTCGCGAGCCTCGCCGAGGAAGCTCGCTGCTGCCCGTCGCCCCCTGGCCTTGACCAGCCAACGTCACTATGCGAGCGCGACCGACTCTGCCCCGAACCCCAACGACAACTTCTTGTCTGGCAACACTGCCAACTACATCGATGAGATGTACATGCAGTGGAAGCAAGACCCCAAGAGCGTTCACGTCTCATGGCAGGTCTACTTCAAGAACATGGAGAACGGCGACATGCCCATCGCCCAGGCCTTCACTCCTCCTCCCTCTCTGGTTCCTGGTGCCATTGGTGGCGTTCCGGCACTCGGCGCTGGTCTCGGCCAGGGCTCTGAGATCACAAACCATCTGAAGGTGCAGCTTTTGGTGCGCGCCTACCAGGCTCGGGGCCATCACAAAGCCAACATCGACCCCCTTGGCATTCGAAACGAATCTCAGGGCTTCGGTAACATCAAGCCCAAGGAACTTACTCTTGAGCACTACCAATTTTCCGAGAAGGACCTCGATGCCGAGTACGAGCTTGGACCTGGCATCTTGCCGCGCTTCAAAAAGGACGGCCGCGAAAAGATGACTCTCCGCGAGATTATTGACGCGTGCGAGAAGATTTACTGCGGTGCCTACGGCATTGAGTTTATCCATATCCCCGACAGAGAGAAGTGCGACTGGCTGCGCGAACGGATCGAGGTCCCCCGACCTTTCAAGTACTCCATCGACGAAAAGCGCCGCATCCTTGATCGTCTAATCTGGAGTTCCAGCTTCGAATCGTTCCTTGCCACAAAATACCCAAATGACAAACGTTTCGGCCTCGAGGGCTGCGAGACTCTCGTTCCCGGTATGAAGGCTTTGATCGATCGCAGCGTTGACTACGGCGTCAAGGATATCGTCATTGGCATGCCTCACCGTGGTCGTCTGAACGTTCTGAGCAACGTTGTTAGAAAGCCCAATGAGTCCATCTTCAGTGAGTTTGCCGGAACTGCCGGCGCTGAGGACGAAGGCTCTGGTGACGTCAAATACCATCTTGGTATGAACTTCGAGCGCCCTACACCTTCCGGCAAACGCGTCCAGCTTTCTCTCGTCGCCAACCCCTCTCACTTAGAGGCGGAAGATCCTGTCGTTCTCGGCAAGACTCGCGCTATCCAGCACTATAACAACGATGAGAAGACGCATCGCACTGCCATGGGCGTTTTGCTCCACGGCGATGCCGCCTTCGCTGCGCAGGGTGTCGTTTACGAATGTCTTGGGTTCCATTCTCTCCCTGCCTTTTCTACAGGTGGCACGATTCACCTCGTCGTCAACAACCAGATCGGTTTCACCACCGACCCCCGTTTTGCCCGCTCCACGGCTTACTGCACTGACATCGCCAAGGCCATCGATGCCCCTGTCTTCCACGTCAATGCCGACGATGTCGAGGCTGTCAACTTCGTGTGCCAGATGGCCGCCGATTGGCGTGCTGAGTTCCAGCAAGATGTCATTGTCGACCTAGTCTGCTACCGAAAGCACGGTCACAACGAGACCGACCAGCCCTCTTTCACCCAGCCTCTTATGTACAAGCGCATTCAGGACCACGAGTCTCAGATCGCCATCTATGTCAGCAAGCTTCTCGAGGACGGCAGCTTCACTAAAGAGGATATTGAAGAGCACAAGCAGTGGGTGTGGGGTATGCTGGAAGAGAGCTTCTCCAAGTCCAAGGACTACCAACCCACGTCCAAGGAATGGACCACATCTGCGTGGAACGGTTTCAAGTCTCCCAAGGAGCTTGCGACTGAGGTCCTTCCCCACCATGAGACAAGCGTGGACAGCAAGACTTTGAACCACCTTGGCGAGGTCATTGGCAGCACCCCCGAGGGCTTCCAGCCTCATCGCAACCTGAAGCGCATTCTGTCCAACAGGACCAAGTCTGTCGTCGAGGGTAAAAACATCGACTTTCCCACCGCGGAAGCCCTTGCTTTCGGTTCTCTCGTCACCGAGGGTCACCACGTTCGTGTTTCCGGTCAGGACGTCGAGCGTGGAACTTTCTCTCAGCGCCATGCTGTTTTCCACGACCAGGAGACTGAGGACACCCACACTCCTCTTCAGCATATCAGCAAAGACCAGGGCAAGTTCGTCATCTCTAACTCCTCTTTGAGCGAGTTTGGCGCCCTCGGCTTCGAGTATGGCTATTCTCTGTCTTCTCCCAACGCCCTTGTCATGTGGGAGGCCCAATTCGGTGACTTCGCCAACAATGCGCAGTGCATCATCGATCAATTCATTGCGTCCGGTGAGGCCAAGTGGATGCAGAGAACTGGCCTTGTTGTGTCCCTACCCCATGGATACGACGGCCAGGGTCCAGAGCACTCTTCCGGTCGTCTTGAGAGATGGCTGCAGCTGAGCAACGAGGACCCTCGCGTCTTCCCTTCCCTTGAAAAGCTGGACCGCCAGCACCAGGACTGCAACATGCAGGTCGCATACATGACAAGCCCTTCCAACCTGTTCCACATCCTTCGTAGACAAATGCACCGCCAATTCCGCAAGCGTAAGTCCACTCTGATCATTCTATCATCATAGGCCTTGTTGCTCACGATCACTAGCTCTCATCATTTTCTTCTCCAAGGCTCTGCTCCGCCACCCTCTGGCTCGCTCCAACATCGAGGAGTTCACTGGCGACTCTCACTTCCGCTGGATCATCCCCGACCCAGAGCATGAGACTGGTGCCATCAAGCCCAAGGAGGAAATTGAGCGTGTCATTCTCTGCTCTGGCCAGGTCTGGGCTACCCTGTCCAAGTACCGCGCCGACAACCAGATCGACAATGTTGCTTTCACCCGTATTGAGCAGCTGAACCCCTTCCCCTGGCAACAACTGAAGGAGAATCTCGACCAGTACCCCAACGCCAAGACCATTGTCTACTGCCAAGAGGAGCCCCTCAACGCTGGCGCCTGGAGTTTCGTACAGCCCCGTCTTGAGACTCTGCTTAACAACACTGAACACCACGACCGCAAGCATGTCATGTACGCCGGCCGTGGCCCTAGCGCATCTGTCGCCGCGGGTAACAAGGGCCTGCACAATAAGGAGGAGCAAGAGTTCCTGGAGATGGCTTTCTCTGTCAAGCAGGACAAGCTGAAGGGCGAGTGAAAAATGAACGACTTTAAACAGACATGATACAGCGGGTGGATGGGAAGAGCCTTAGGACGGGCGCGGGCAGGTTCAGAACAGTGGGAGCGATGCGTTCCTTGTGCAATTGTAAAATAAACCTTTGAGTAATACCACACATGCCTCCATGACGGAGAGGTTGTGCCATTACAAAAGTTAGGTGGAAGGGCACGGCATCCTAGATATATCGCACCGAACACAAACCTGGCGGATAAAGGCACATGCCGCCAGAGAAACAGCTTCTGCTACTTGATGCTGGAAGCAAATTTATTCGTTCAAACAATATGTCTCTCACGCTGGTTTTTCCGAAGTCGATTTTGGCTCTTTGGATAAGGAGATGCCGACGACGGCCTCGCACAGCATTTTAGCCCGGGTATGTTGCGATCCCCATACAAACCCATCCAGAGGTGTTCTATTTAACTATTTAACAACCACTGGGCCCTCTTCTTCACCTCGCAGAGCCCCATCTCTGTGAAGCTGATGATGTATCTATCCAGCATTACGCCGCCTCGTATATATATTTGCTGCACAATACTTTACGCGTACTAGCGAGCATCGCTTGTCTTTCTCCATCACTAATCTCTCGTCCCGCAACTATTCTCCGATTTGCCCATACTGCGTACACCCTGACCGGGTCATAGAGCTTAGCTTGCCAACCACGTCAGCAACGCATCCACCTTCTTTCAGTGGCCCGCCGACCTGCAACATGTAGGTGACCTAGGGTGGGTACGAAAGGCCACTGGCAATGACTGATCGTTGGGTCAGGTATTCCTGCTGAGCAGCTGAGTCAAGGCTTGACCCAAAACCTTGATGCCAAGGCTGGGCTGTCGCCATTCAGCGAGTAAGATGTTGCTCGGTTCGAAGCACTAGCAACACCTACCACCTTAGTTTAGGTATGGTAAAGTAGCACGGTTTCTGAAAATTTTCCAAGCAACCTCTCATTGGATCGCGTCGCGTGGGCGCTGAACTTGCCAGAGGCTCGCCTATGCCGGATGTACTGGAGGATGAAACAGGGCTGCAGGAGTGGAATCCCCAGCATCGAATGGTCATGACACTTGGGAAACGCCCAGAAGCGTCAGAAGAACCCAAACATGCAACTCCACGCTCCCGCTAGTCTCCGAAACCCGGTTGTCAGCCGTGCCAGGCTTATGGTGAGCTGGATTTGTGGCAAGTTCTCCAAGGATTGTCAATCTCCCAATTCGTGATTATTCAGTTCATTATCGTTAGTATTGTGCTTTTTGTGACCCGTTTTCCCGCTAAGCCAGGCCTATTTGTCATGATGAATTATAAGTGAATACCCCAAGCCGCCATGCCATCCAAAAAAAAAAAAAAAAAAAGAAAGAAAGAAAGAAAGAAAGACCAGCGCTATGCCTCATCCCAAAAAGAAGAGCCCCATGACCGTACTTCACGCCCATATTCCTCGGACCTTGGCTCACTTTCCGTCCCCATCCAGTCTGACTCTCTTTGATGGTCGTCCCGCAACCTCACTCTCGGCATCAGCGTCGTCGTCGGCCTCGCCCAGCTCCTCCTCTTGCTTCACCGCGGCGTCCGCCGCGCCCGAAGCTTCCCCCGTACCGTTGGCGGGCCTTTCCTTCTTGTGCTCCTGGTCCGCGGCATCCTTCATGAGCACCGCCTCGTCGTCCTTTGTGAAAATCTTCTTGGCTGACTCGATCTCACCCTTCTTCTCAAAGACCTCTTGGACCTTGCCGAGGAAGGCGTCGTTCTTGCGGAACGCAAACTCGAAGTCCTCGTATTTGACCTTTTGCCGTCCCGCGTAGTTCGCCGCGCGCGTCGCCTCGAAGGCCATGCCTTGGATGAACTCGGTTACAATCTCGTCGAGAACGCGAATCGTTTCGGGAAGCGGATTCCTCACGTCGCCGTGGGCGTATAGCAGTTGAGCCACTGCAGGATTTGAATTCAATTAGTCCGATCCCTGGGTATCGTTGAGCTCAAGAGAGGAAGGAACAGACGCTCGTTGTGGCTAAAGTTCATCTTGCCAACATTTTTGGCGGCACGAGCGCGAGGCTCCATATTGGGCAGACAATTCCTGATTATCTGATCCGGATACGTAAGAGTTTGCTGTCTTTTGCTGTAATCACTCCAGAGGAATGTGCGAAAGTCCCTTCGTGAGGCGCGTGGATTTGGTATTCGGATTGCTAGGGAAGAGTCGTCGAAGAGGAGGTTGAGGATTAGGGTGGGTGCTTGGGATTGAGTGACAGACTTCCATTCACGGCGCAGAAAGCTAGGTACCTTACAGATACCTTACCTTTGGCAGGTGCCTTATCTTATCATAACCCTGCATATCGAGCCTCAGGTTCTAGGCCCGGTCCAGAGCAAACCCATGTCCATGTTGACTGTGGGGGTGGCGCCCTGTCGTCCAAACGTGGCTAATGAGAAGCTCCAAGCTCAGGCCACATGTGGCACAAAATCTCCGGGCCACCTTGTCCACTCAGGAGAGGCTGAAGACGACGCACCCCTAGGCCATCTGTATCGCGACCATCAAGTTAGCCTGCCCATTTACCCAAGGTCCCCCGTCCAAGTCGCTATCTTTCCTTCTTAGAGGGACTCAGCTTGCAAACATGGTATGTCAAGCTCCGCGATCACATTGGGTATAACGAGGCATGCTGAAATGAGACATAGACAGCCCTATTCAACTTCCAGTCGCTCCTACTCGTCATTCTCCTACTCATATGCACATGCGCATACGTCCACCAGCTCATACCCGCCATTATGGATCGGAACAAGGACGGGTAGGCTCGTTTATGGCACGCAGTTATATAGAGATACATACGGCTGCTGACTATCAGACAGCTTCATCGGCATATTCTGGAAATTCGCAAGGGTGGGCGAGCGGTTAAGTCCATACATCAGCTTATGCTGTGTCGTCATGGCGGCAAGTCTCCCGATTCTCTGCAGCTTCACCTTCCGCTTCTAACCGGCTACGATAGGTTTCCATGCTCATCAACTAGACCACCCCCACCCCCACCTGTAAGAGCACGCGCGCGGAACCCTCCTCGACGGGGGGACGAAAGACTTGTTATATGGTTTGGAGTTGGTCTGGAAAATGAAATGTTGCTTTGTTAGATGGGTGCCAGCGCAAGGCGCAGGAAAGAGGGTACTGCTAGGTCAATATGACCCGCATAACGAATTCAATAGTACATGGGTATTGTCCGTCCATATCGGACGACTGGGGAAATAATGCAAGAAATTATGTTACCATCGATGGTAATACGTTGTGGTTCTGCTCTTGGCGTTGCTTTGGATGTGATTTACATCCGTAGACTGTCGTATAGATATCTCTTCCAGTTCCAGAAACGACAGTCTGTCTGATTAGGAACTCTGAAGCAATTCTAATTTCTTTGTGGACAACTTCGATGGACGCTTATCGTCTGAGTAGCGTATTTTTCCCGGGTATATTCGTCAACACTGTGTCAAACACAAGAACTTTGCATCGATGATTTCAGTTTCCCAGCAATTTACACCAAGCGAACTCGTAGAGCAAAAGCCATCTATGAGCTTATAGTCAGTGACATGGCGGCCTGAACTGGGAGCTGTGGTTCAAGGTACAGGGCATTCGTCTTTACAACCATTTTGTGATGGAATGATATGTCAACTTACATATTTCTAGAGAGGGGAGAGGTGCAGCTTAGCTCATGCGCTCAGGACTAGAGACCCAGACGTACTTACTCAATCAAACACACAGTCAACATGATTTCTATACTATAGATCCTGATACTAGAGTGAACGAAAACGAAATAAGCCGTCCATTTGCAGAGTTTGACTTTTGACTTCCTTCCACGGTTGACGATGCCCTCTGGACCATGCGTCCGCTGTCGCCGGCAATGGTACCTCATCGATTTATATGAGGGTGTTTCCTTCCGGCTTTATTGGCTTTGGTGATTAACTCGCACAGGATCAATCTTTCAACAGAAATTACACAATACAATACACACGCAATGTAACAACACGGTACCAGTACTATGCCCCAAATTCGTACCAATAACACAATAAAGTAATGTTGATAAGCGTACCCAAAACCGGCCGCAAACGTTGGCCGCAAACGTCGGCGGCCGTCGTGAAAGAGAGGACATACTTAGCCTCCATATTGAACAATGTACTGGTTTTGTGATTGCTTGATTCAAGTTGTTTCTTGTATCATCTCTTTGCTAAGGAATCAAGCCTGCTCAGGATTTCGACACTGACACTCACCCAATCGTAGTGTTGAAGAAAGGGACGCTCATCTGTCTACTCCATGTACGTCTATGAAAGCCCATGGAGATGCAGGAGACCTCTAATCTTTTTTCCCTTCCCCTATAAATATAGCACAGGGGCGCTGTCCTTCAGGAACGTATTCTTTCCATATTTGAGATTGCACATGATCCCTTCCTTTCCTCGAGTCATACTAGTGATGATGTTACATCAATGGTTGCCTTAATTCTTCGACACTCGTCAAAAGTAGGTTTATAATATCATACATCGCTTTCAGCTTCATCTTCAAGTGCGCTGCGTGAAGCTTGAAAGCAGCAACGAGCCCTTCCAGGGGGGGGCGGTATGATTTGACAGCACTTCTGTATCAGACTATAAACACCCTAGCTGGGACCAAGGTTGCAACGCTTAGGCCTACACCAATGGGTTGACACTTCTCTCGGAAGAGTTACAAGGCGACTAGGAGCAGAATAGAGCCAATGAAACTGAAGATGGGTAGTAGATGATGTGTTCCTGCATGTTACGCTTGTTATGTGATAATAAACCCCAGCACTCGTCATACAACATGTCGACCGAGGCTTTCCGTCGTTATATAAGAAACCTGATACATAGACAGCATTTTAAGCAAAACGAAAAGAGCAAAAAATCTGTAATCTGAGTTCTCAACATGTCCAAGACGGTCAAAACAGCAGGACTCATGTCGCTAAGTAATGTCGAGAATATCCTTCCACAGCCTCGAGCTATAGACACGACGACCGATATAACGAGGTGCTGAAACGATCGTCATCGATGGCTCTGCAGAAGTCTGAAACTAGGTACCTGGTTTCCCGCGTTACTTCTCGTCTCATCCAGCACACATCTACACGCCTACGCAAGGGTTGAACGACTGGCGCGTCGAGACGGATTGGACATCCGTAAGTGAAGTGTATTGGTATCTACGGCCGTAGTAAGAGGCCCCAAAACAGGGATTGTAATGCCGGTAAAAAAGTCTTGAAGTGGCTAAATCAGTACATGCGACTTTGCGGTCCTGCCCACTATTGCCTTCTCTAGCTCATTGATCGAAGATCTTCATAGACAACGTCTTCTCGCGGCGGACATCACGTGTGCATTCAAAATAGGTCATCGCCAGCACCGTAGTAACGGCCAATGATAGTGATGTAAGCAAAAAACTACCTGGTCACACTACAGATTACTGAGCTTGCACAGGGCGATTGACATGACGATTGACGCTGTCAAACCCTTCCAACTTCCTTCCCTCGTGCCCATCATGATACGGCGCTTCCGATGAGAGCCTCTAACTGATTAAAGTACGATATCAGAGTGTAAATATGACAGTAGGAAGGCGAACATGACTTCAGTAATGCTTCGTCTCCACATCTGATGGACACAGGACAAGGAATACATAGTGGAAGCTGCGAGAACGTAATAGCCAGATCCTCAGATGACCCCAACTAGGACTACTCCCGACAACAACCTCTTTAAGATCTTAACCAGTGCCCTCGGGTATATGTCTCGGAAAAGACGCAGGACCAAAGACCCGGGCTTGGACTCGGCTTGCAGAATCATAATAATCCAAAGTAGCGCGTGCCCAACCAAGATTCAGGTCCAATGCAACATCACCTCTTGTGTGCTCAAGGTTTTGACAGAGTGACAATCAATTAGGAATGGGGGTGGGGGGCAAGGCAAAGAAAGCAAAAAGACGGAAGTTGCTAAAGGGTTTTCTTATTTTGTAGTAACCGAAAATCTCGTAGAGAACGTCCGATTACAATGACGAATCAGTCCATCGACTCCAGATAAATCTACTGACCCCAGATCCTACCTAGTACCCAGTGAGTGTATGCTCAGCAATATCTCGTCCCTACACGTCTCTCCGCCACAGTACAACCAAATAATCGCAGAAAGCACACACTCACACACTCTGACGTCTGGGACATGACTCCATGTAAAGCCACGCCATGAGAATTCTCCAAAAGCCCCAGAGGGAAAGGGTGGTAGTGCTCTTGCATGAGATGAGAGACACACCCGCGTCCCGCATCGATGTAGAAAATCTCACCGATTGGATTTCACCCTACGTTCGTGTGTGATTGCGACCGTGGCTGCCTCAAGACCGTTCCAGCGTTTTTTTTTTGTTTCTTTTTGGTACAACAACAAATGGCACATGCTTGCTTGTTCGGATGCGACTTACAGCGGACGCAGCCGATAGACAAACAGCCGCAGGTGAGAAATCCAATCAGGTCACAGTCATGATTGGACGAAAAGGGCAAATATTGAATGGCAAATGTGACTGTTGTTTTCTGTCTCAGCAATGCAAAAAGTGCGCTATGTATCTGGATGTGACCACCTTCCCATGCAACGCCTAACCAAGTAATCATCGCGGCCAAGGCGCTCGCGAGCTTGATGCTTTGATACCCCAAACACCGTCTAAAGTTTCCATAAACCCCATAGCCAAAAGAATCTTGCGAGAAAAAGCTGCGAAATGCAAGATTAAAATACTGTAAAAAGGGGTATTGTTGTTCTGCCAGACATAATAGAGAAGCCCTCTTGCTTGGGCGTTTCGGTTTGCTTTTCTTTGAGACGAGCATCCCTTTTTGATTAGATATTGTTGTTTTGGAGACGTCTAGAATTGGTTCATTTCCATCAGGGTATCGACTTGCTCGTCTTCGGTGTATGCGAGGCCGGCGAAGACTCTCCAGTGTAGAATACCGAGGTGTGCCAAACGAGTCGCCATATCCTCGATTCCGCCATCGTCTCGAGTCTCCCGGGTGCTGTCAGAAACAGAGCTCTCACGATCTGGTGTGCCGGTTGATCGTCCCGAGCCTTGGACGCGACCGCCAGTGGCTAATGTGAAAAGACCGACTCCAGTGAGCCCACGGAACTCATGGACTCGCTTCTGGAGCTCCATCAGAAGCCTGTGGTGAAAGTGAGCCTCGACCTCCTGGAACAACGGGCTGTTGACGTCGCAGACGTGAGAAGCGAGCTTGGACTCGAATACCGGTAGCATATCGGCGGGAGCATTGGTGAACCGGAAGATCTGAAGAGCCAGTGAGGGGGCAATGGCCTCCCAGCGAGACTCGTGCCTCCGCGGCGGCGGCGAGGTGTGGAGCAGTGCGACCAGAGAGTTGTATACGTCCCTCGCCTTAGCTAAAAATTCCGTGGGATCGGACGTAGGCTGGGGTGGGAGGATGAGGGAAGATCGCGGAGATGAAGTGGCGGAATCACCTGAGCTGAAGGCGAGACTCGACGGCCGCGAAGGCGGGGTGTTGAAGTTAAAATCGGGAGTCATGGATAGAGGGCGGCCGCGAGGCTCCTCATCAAACTGTGAGAAGGAGCTGGCAAAGAGGGGAGCGTTCAATCGGCCGACCCTCTCGAGGTCATCGTACATGCGCATGCAGACCTCCAAGTTGATCGCGTCCAGCATATCTGCGCGGAGCTTGCCAAACCGCTCTTCGTCAAAGATAAAGGTATTTGGCAATGCCTTTTCTGATACCGAGGGTAAGACCAGGCGTGAGATGGCTTCAAAAAAGACAGACATCTCGCCGAAATAGTGAGCTGCGATGGGAGAAACAGAAGCGGCGTATCTCTGCTCGGCATCCCTATACCAGGCATTTGCTTGAGTAACGTCCAGCTTATTTCCCTGAATCTTTTTCTCGAAGAATTTGCGCTCGAACGGGATAGTTCCCTCGATCAGGATCGGGCGGAGACAGCGAATCTGATGGTTGGCAACGTCGAGCTTCATAGCCTCCAGCACGCTAAGCAGGCTCTTCATGCCCTTGACGAGCTCATCCACATTGTTCGTCCTGTTGCCGTTGCTCAGCTGGGTGTACATTTGATCAACCCACTCATCCCGCATCGGGGCGCAGTGTGATTTGAGCACCCGAGACAACCATAGAGCCAGCTTCTCCAAGTCTGCGACTCCTCTGTAGAATTGCTGCATCAATAAGTCGACATTCAGTCCCTCATCCAGGTAGATTCTATCTCTTTGGGGTACCAAAGTCTGAATGATTTCCTTGACTGCCTTCAGCAAAGAGGGCAGGCACCAATCATCATCCTGGCCGTGTGCCGAGAAGAAGGACTCTGGCTCCCTCACAAATTGAATAAGCTGCTCCTGAAGGGTGTTCCAAAACAGGTCGGCCTTGTGCTGCTTCCTCTTGCCCTTGTCGCCGTCCAGGTTGGGGCGGAAGTGCAGCTCGGGGTCGAAGTTGATATCATGGCGCAATTTCGGGTTGTGCATGATTTTACACACGTCTAACTCGCTCAGGGTCGCCTTCGTCACGGGGGGCTCAATGGGCCGAGAGATCCGGGGAGCGGATGCCTTGACCTCTGGCACGCTTCCGAAGTAACTATCTGTCGGCGCACTCGGGGTGGAAATAGTTGAACTGTTGGATGACGCCCTCGCCATTAGGGGTGCTGTCGTGGGCGTTGATGTATTGGAAGGGGGGTTGAAACCTCTAGGAGAGACTTGTGATGATTGCTTGAACTTGGGTTTGGCCTCCTCTTGTTGCGTCTGCTTGCCCGTCTGGGGCTCGGCCTCTTGAATGGGCTCGTTCTCGGCGTTGGCTCGAGTCGATGTTGACAGATGGCGACGGTTGCTTTCTATGCCGCCACCGGCTCCCTGATCACCCGCCATTTTGAAGAATCTCGTCCTGTCGATTGAAGGTGTTTTACAAGCACTGCTCCACTAGCCTTCGTGTCGTCGGAATTCGCAGTTTCGAGAGAGATTGGTCAGAAGCCAGATCCAGATCTGGAGGTTACACGCTGGAGGTTGACGTTGGAACAAGTTGCAAAGCCTAAGAAATCGAAGCGGGTAGGTAATTTGTGGTGTGGCTAGTGTTCCCCGAGGGAGCAAGTTAGCCAGAGTATATCTAGTTGAGAGGCCGCAAACAAGCATTGGTGGTTTTGTGAGACGGAGAAGGTCTCGTGAGCGACACACGCGGGCGTATGCAGTCGCTGGCTGCCGGAGTTCTGTGCAATGAACGGGGGAGCGTCGAAGGGAGGGGGGAAGGATCTCTGCGACTTTGCAGCTATCCGTGGCCGGGCAAGCCGAATAGGCTTATTGTAACTTACCGAATATGATAGAACAGAGATATGGTAGATGGGCCGTGAGCGGGATGCAGCGGCAGTTGCGGTCGTCGAGGACAGGAATCAGCGGTGGATGTATGTCCCGAGGGATGTTTGCTCAAGCAGAGAAGCGCAGCGCAGCAGGAAGGAGCGGCTGGACCACAGGAAGAGTCCGGTTTGGGAGCGTGCTTGCTGCAGAGGCACGGCTGAGAAGCAAACAAGCAGCCAAGTCACTTCTGGAATCTCGTTGGTTGGAACCGACGGGAGCGAGGATCCCGAGGATGCGGTCAAGTGGGTGTACAGTGTTTATCGGGTGTTGGTTGTGTATTGTTGGTGAGGAAAAAGTGCTGCGGGAGGTCGATTGAGGATAAGAGTGAGGATTTGTGAGAGGAGGAAAGGGTGAAAGTCTATTGGAGGGTGAGAGAGGACGACGAGGTTGTCGTTCAGGAGAATGCAGCAAGAGGAAGAGTAGCCGGAAATTGCTCAGGGGGTGTGGGATAACCAGAAGTAATGAGGGACTGGTCTGGAGTGTCAAAAGGGTGCAAAAGGTAAGCCAGAGAGGGTATCCGTCTGTTGATTACAACTTGGGGATGAAATTGCAAACGGAGAGGGAAGGAGGAAGAAGAGGACGAGTACGTCTGTGAAGTAGGCAGGGACGTGGGAAAGAGGCATGAGAAATACGGTCGGTAAGTACAGTCAGGTCAGGCCCCAGCCCAGGTCAGGTCAGGTCAGGTCAGTGCAGTATGTGGCCAGGGAAGGGATGAGAAGGGAAAAAATAAAAATAAAAATAAAGGAGAAGGTGAGTGTGAATGAGAGTAGTGAGAGCGCCAGGAGGACTGGAGCATGTTAAAGCCAAACAATAATATTAAGACGGTAAGGTATGGGAGGGTAGGAACAGGTCAGGTACAGATACCGTAGAACGGTACGTACATACTACGCAGAGTCGCAGCGCAGAGAGTAGGTACCTGGAGGTAGAGAAAGGCGAGGCAAGGCGCGGCATGGAGGTACATGCATGTGTGTGTGTGCGAGCCGTAGCGTCCAAAAAGGAGAAAGAACCCAGGGAGGTCACTAGTCATCCCATGGCTGGTGGGGAGGTACATTGGACTTGGCTCACACATCCTGACCCTACATTACTCTACTGCATGGTAGAGTACAGAGGGGGTCGGCACACTAAACCGGACGACTCTCTCTCCCACTCTCTCCAAAGGAGCCACCTCAGAAGAAGGGGGGGGGGGGGATGGGCCTTGAGGTAGGTAGGTAGTGAGGCAGGGCAAGGTACTCCATACTCCGTTACATCAACTTCAGTGAGTCTCCAAAAGTCGAAGGACTGTGACCCCAAATCGGTACGTACTCTTTCCGCCGCCGGGCCAGGAACTACGGTAGGACCCAAAGGTCCAGGGGAACATGCGCTTGGATGGGTTGGGGGAACTTGGGTGAAATTGCTGGCAATGCATCCTCAATGCAGAGAAGTGCAGTGCCAGACGAGACCCTCCACACGCTCCCACACACTCACTCTCACACGCTACACACCCGGAGCTTCATCTTTTGGCGGTAGCACCCACTAGGCACTGGGCCATCCATCCTCTCGGCCCCCTTCCCCTCCCATTTGGGACTGGTCCTATCACTCTACCACAGGGCCACGGCACCCTATATGGCGCTGTGTGCGAGAGAAAGAGGGAGAGAGAGATTGTGTGTGTGTGGGAGAGGGAGGGGAGAGAGAGTTCTATTGAGTGAACAAGGTCAGGGCAAAAAGGAGGCAGTCCTTGCAGGAATCGCCTTGCAGGCGTCGGGTTGGTGTTCGTGATCTGCATTTCCTGCAGTGGGAGTGGGAGGATATCATCGGAGCCCTGGTCGTGGTCATGCTGTTGGTGTTGTTGATGATAATGTTGCCAATGTCCGTCTCATCGTGTAGGTAATGTAAGGCCAGGAGTGCCCCTTTCGTACTCGGCTCATACTGGCGGCGTGGAAAAGCAACTCTTCCGGTACTTCTCTCCTGTCAATGCCAGGTCGTGTCATGCCTCCTCCCTTCCGCTTGTCTAGGCTCTTCTCCCATCACATATCGACTCGGCATCCCTTCCAGTTCCCGTCCGTGTTCTTTTGGCACTTTGCCCTTGTCTCCGTCAGGTACGGTACGCCTCATCGACGCCTCAAGCCACAGAGTCCCATTACTTCCCCTCCATGTACAGCCCGCTACTTGCTTCTAGTCAGCCTTAGCGCGTCATCGTGGAGAGGTCCCTTTGTGAAGTCGTTCCCCCGTCTCCCGGGCCTTGAAAAGCCACGGCCACCGTCACTACCCACCGTCTATTGCCTGACCGCCGGCATTAACAATCATCAGCGGCATCGGCAGGGGCAGTGGCAATGGCAGAAGCAGCAGCGGCGGCGTACAGCAGTACAATGCAATGAACACCTCTTCGTCAAGTAGTTCCTCGGGGTCTCACCGAGTGAGAAACCAGACATGCGAGCCGCATACTCGTCTGCCACGCCACGCAACGCCATGGAGCGGGCCAGTACGTATGTCGACCTCCGCTCCGGCCGATACACGTCGCTGCCCCAGCAGAATGGCACTGGAGGTGTATCAACACGGAGATCAGGGTCAAAAGAGAAGGCGCCTTTGCTGTCGGCGGTATCGCGAGCAGCGACTGCAGGCATCGGGGACAGCGTTTGCATTTGCTACTACGGCAGCAGGCCTCGTCATTTGCCGTTTGCTATTCGTAGTGTACCGTCAACCAAACCCGTCCGGTGGACTGAGGAGGAAAATCTACCGCCAGTCACAACCAACCCATTGACAGACGGCTGCTAAGACGAGATAACTATCCATGCCGCCATGCCCATGCCATGCCGTGCCACGCTCATCGCACGCTGGGGCGATTAGCACCAAGGCCATCCCTGCGCCGGGCCGGGGGGTGGACGAACAACTCGTTTGGTACTCGGTTCTCTTGGGTCTCTCGTGGTCCACTCGGGCCTGTCCCTGCTGGCTGGAGACACTCAAAAGAACCACGACCCATGCGCCTGTCGGTGATCTCGAAGAACGGAACGCAAACTGGATACCTCTTGGAACACGCCAACCAGCCTCCCTCCTTTGCCTGTCTTTGCCCGGTCCTTTCCTGGTCATGTTGACTTCCCCAGAATAGCTGTTTCGAAAGGAAAAAGGGGACACGATGTGGCGTTAGACGGGCCAGGCCGATAAAGCGTCGTAGGGACGACCACCATGGCCCAAAACACCAGACTCTTGTCCAAGAAGACGGCGTATCCAGTTGTAGCAAGTAAACCATACGAAGACCCCGAACTTACAGCCAGCAGGCGACTAGTTGCGACGAGAGTTGAAAGAACATGGACACACGGCCTTCGCGGGCGCTCCGCCGTGGGCCGGCAGAGAAGGGGGGAGGGGCGGCATCATCTCAAGAGACGACCTCGGGCCAGAACTTTTGACTCGACTGGCGAGACAAGAGGGCAGCGCGCTGCGAGACGAAGCAAATAAAGGCACGGTAAATGAGTCGTCGGGCGTGTGCAGAAATTTTTTTACGTCAAAGGCAGAGGAGGTGGTGGTGGTTGTGGTGGTGGCGGCGAGTCAATGACCCTCGTATTGATCGACCAGCGGCACATTGTTCCAATTCCGGTAGCTGCAGTGTGGACGAAAAGAACAGGCTCAAACTGCAACAGCACCCGAGACTCTGCATATACACGAGGTCATGGTCAACGGCGGACTGCTCGTGTGCCATCTGCTTCTGCCTCATGGCCGTGGAGGTGGTGGAGGTCGTGGTACAGGTCTTGCGAATAAGTGCAAGAGATGAATCCAAATGGGGGGTCAAAACACTCGGGATTGTGCGTCCGTCCGCTCGCAGACTTGCGTGGTCTGCCAGGACAGGATTCCGAATGGATCGCACGACCATGCAAGGACGGTGGTTAAGAAGCTGGAAGACTGCCTAGATGAGCAGAGCGCCCCTTTCTGCCCATGATCCATCATCCATCCATCCGTTCAAAATGTGTGTCCAAGCGTTCGTGATATAATTCTTGGCGACACGGGGGAACATGTTGAGGAGAGGATAGGAGGACGGGATGTTCACGACTCCTCCTAGAGTCCAAATCCCAATCCCAGAGGGAACCAGAGAAAAAGCAAATGGGGGCAGATCATCAGTGGTGCGCTATCTTAGGTAGGCGTGGGGTTCCTTACTCTAACCAGGCCCGGGTTGAGGTACGGGGGTACGGGGGTACGGAGGCACTTGCGGGGGTATGGAGGGGCAGAAGAAACCATCGGAGTAATAAATGTGAAAAATGCCAGAGAAGGAAAAGATTCTGGAAAAAAAGAATAACACGGATCCAATTCCTATGATTAAAAAAAGAATAAGAAGGCAAATGGGAACGGCAAGGGCCAGTCGAGCCAACCCAGCAATCCGCGCCGTCGGTAATGGCCATTTGGATCCCACCACCCGCGTACCTTACGGGGGAGGAGGTACCGTCTGCTACGTGCCTGGCAATCGGGGCCGACGCCCAGACTGGATGTATCCCAGTACCTTCCAAGAGCACGGTACCTGACTACCTGTGTACATAGGTTCTTGGTCGACTTGCAAGGGAAAGGGGGATTGAGGGCGGGCAGCAGGGGGGATCCCTTGCAAGTTCCAGGTCCCAGAAATCTTGGATTGGATTCTCAAGAGCCATCCCAGCCCTTGTACCTGTAAAGAGGAGCAGCCTCGAAGTTGAAGACGACACGAAGGAGGAGCCTTGTGGAATCTCCCAGGGTCAGCTTATTGCCGATGTTGCTCTCTCGCTACCGCTACGCCGCTACGCGCACCTGACACCCTGCCTGAATCTCCCAGGTGGGTTCAAGGTGAAGAGGGAAGAGTAGGTGAGGTGAGCCCGGGGGACGCCTCCGATGTATGTTTGTTGAGCTGACACAAGACACTCGATAACTCACGACATATCTCACCCATGCTGCAAACCTGACATGTGGAAGAGGAGGCTGGCAAGATGCAAACCATTCGTACGGATGCATGCTGCTGGGCTGTCGCTAGCGTGCGGCGGATCAAAAGAGTCCGAGATGATAATTTGACAATTCTATATCATGTCGCCTACGCTCTGAACACAAAGCAAGCCGCCACCTCCAGATTACATACAATGAATGGCTACTTAGTCATTACAGACCACGCAATATGACAGGCTGACCAACAGATTCTCATCCTCATCAGGAACCCGTAGTAATGACGATGATGACAGTTTTCTGCATGCTCGGCCGAAGCTTTGCGTCGCGTCGCCGGGGCTTTTTGAGTCGCTATTTGGGATTCTTTGGGTCGGGGATTAATTAGGAGGATAGAAACCCTCTGGAAGAAACAAATCAATGCCTCTCATGCCTCCCTTCGGTCTTCTCCAAGAGATGTGGGCCGAGGTCGGGTATAATGAAGTAGATAGGATAGGAGGGCGGTGCCATGGGGCGTAATTGGGGATCACTAATCCGCACGGTACAGAGTATTGCGTATAGAGGGAAGACTACTACATTGCACACACACAGTACAGAAAATTCGTGGATGAATAATACAGACGGGCAATGCGATTTTCACAATTCACCCACAGGGCTTAACCAGGCAAAGCCGGTGCCATCTCAAGACAAGCACGACTCACGACTCACGACTCACGACTCACGACTCACGACTCACGCCTCAAAACTCACCAGCCTTGTCCCTGGGAACAGGCCGTGGGCCCCATGAACCAGAGTCTCAGACTCGCGTACCTATCCGTAGTTCCGTACGTTACGGACAGTTAAATCCTCCAATCGAGATCGGCCGGTCCAGACTCACTTGAACCTCACCATTCCTCCTTCTTCGTCCCTGCATGGCATCTGATGAGAGTCGAGCAGGACTCACTCGTCCGTCCCTTGATACCCCCGTATGCCTCGCTACGGGCCCTGCGGTCGGCCTTCATACCTCGACTTTGATTTCGGAGCCGGACAACCTTTACAATATTGGCGTGAACTGCTCTATTCAAGGGCCTCGGAGTACCCCGTCTCAGACAAGGTTTGATTCAAGGCTTAGACTCCAGACGTCGGTCGTGTCCCCCGCCATCGGTGACGGACCGTCACCGTGGAACACGATACGTATCTGGGTTGGCTTTCGACGCCTCCTCGTTCTGCCTTACCTCATCCGCCAGGAGCGCGCCACCTACCTACAATGGTAGGTATGCAGCATCAGTGAGGTTGTGGACGATGGGAAGGAGTGCAGGGCAAGTAATGGTGCCTGAGGGAGCAAGTACCTTCTCCGAGGCACGAGGAAAACGGTGGCCTGTGCGGGGCGTTTGTGTGGCTGCAACATCGCTAGAGGGATACGGAATGCGCTCCGTCTGTTGCTCCCGTTCCACTCATCCGTCTCAGATCCTCTCTGCCTTTTTTGGCGCTTGATTGCACAGAGAAGCCCCCGCCATCTTGAATTCTCCAAAACTCTGTTGCGCGCCTGCGGCTTGCCATCAACAACCCGGCTCCTCAGTCCGAAACCTCGGAGCTAGCCTCACCTCACCGTCTGGACAACGTTTCTTTCAAGTATCAACTATCCTTCGCAGCCACAGCCAAGAAGGTAGGCAAGCACGCAAGCTAGGCTAAAGGTAGAGCAGGATGCCGGGCGCCAAACTGACCCTTCCCGGAAAACCCCCTGTCTCCGTGGACTGTGGCATGTACACAACTCATCATCAACCCATCAATCCCGAGCCGCTATAGATATTACAAAGAGTATCCGCATGGACCTTGGGCCACGAGGCAGGACTCGCAGGACTCGGAGGAGGCAAGAGGCAGGAGGCAGGAGGCAACCGAGTGGCCGTTTCCCCCTTCCCGGTGGCATTAAGATTGGATCCATCTAGTTGCGATCCACGATCCACCGGCCTCGTCCACTCCAGATGCAACCAGCCACCAACAAAGCCGTCCTGCTGATCGGCCTCACAACCATTTCATCTCTTCGCTTCGGAGCTGTCGCCGTCTTCTGCTGCGGCCTCTGCTCATTCATGCATGTGGCTACACAATTACGACTGGAAATGCAATTTGATCCCAACGCACACGAGGACCATATGGAATTGACCACACATTTCTTCTTCTCAAACAACAATGCTGTCCTGTTGCATCCACGATCCATTCCACGCCGCCGCTGTAGATGTGCGCGACATCTCAATCGGTTACAACACCCGCCGGCTCCCCTTGACCAAGTAAACCGTCGACTTCATCGCCGGCACCTGAAAGACAAGCAGCTACGGCAGTAGAAGCAGATGCAATCGCAATCATGTACCAACTAGCTATCATCTCCCACGATCTTGGAGATTAGAATACCAACAGCCTTATACGACACCTCGCCCCCCGTTTTTCATTTCTCGTTGTCGCGCTCGCGGCATCGCCCAAGACTATGGATTCGAATCGGCCACCAACCGGTGTTGGATCTGCATTGAGGCGCCTGACCCGGGTGTGGATGCTAATTAACCCGTCTTTGGGTGCAAGCGGCCGAGATATCGGAGCCACTGGGAAAGTGGTCGATAGCGAGGCGAACGCCTCACTACCCGCCGTCGTCTGATGCTGCTGGGGCTTTGGCCTAGACGGTGCCCCCGGGAATATGTGCAACCGTCCCTTTCAGGCCCCGGGGCGCCCATCACTTTGGTCCAAACGCCAACGGCGCACGGCAAATGATAGTTTGGGCAATTTCAGAGTCTCGAGAGGCCGGCAACTGCCCGATACTCAGACCTACACGCTTCATGTCCGCGACGGCATTGCTCCATGCGTGAGTAATGGTGCTCGTCCGCCCCTGGCCCTCCATGTCACCCGCTCTCCGACCCAAAGGTGGCTCTGGCTTCTCGGTCCTCGCAAAGCGTCTTTCGGAGGGGGAACAAGATGAACGGCGGCCGGCACAGGAGCCAGGACCAGAAAACCGCCAGATTGGCAATGACGACAGTCGACTACCTGCGAATACCTTCCCTCTGCAGGGACTTTGACTTGCAAATTCCCGTTCCATGTATGCGAATGGATGGATGGTCGGGGCGTCGATGAGCGAGATCATCTCATCTTCATACAACCGTCCACCTGATCCTGTACAGAATCAGCTTTGCATCTAAAATTGCCGCCAGCCGACTCTTGACTGAGCTACCACCGCCCGTCCTCCAGGTACGAGTCAATCAACTTCTGACGTCGATACTCGACAATCTCCTTTTTTTTCTTCCCCAATAATGACCGTGTACATGCGGAGCTACGCGTTAACCACGACGCCTCGGCCAAGGCGAACCCTCCACCCCTTTCTGCCTCGTCCTGCCATGTGGTTGATGGAGCCCTCCAAGGGTCCGTAGACCGGGAACCGCGGCTGCCCGTGGGCGAGGGTCATCCTCGCACTACTTCTGCTGAGAATGAGGCTGCACAGTTCACACCACCGATCTATGGCCACCCTCTAGTTTCAGCGGTCCGACTTTGCAGCCCATAACACAGCATGTTCGGTTCAGTATTGGACCGTCGGCATCCAGGTTTAACGACATTCTTATGACCTTTCTGAACGCCACTTCGATTTTCGAGCAATTTACAGGAGCACTGGCCCACAGTCCAAGTTCTCACTATTCGCACCGGTGTCAGACCTTCAATCAAACCATGATCTCTGGTCGACCGGTAGTCCGGTATGCCCCCGACAGTCCAGCGGCTGTCAGCATGCTGTCCCTTCACCTTACTGCCGTTTGCGCCCCACACACCGAGATTGGAAGACGCTGTAGGTTCAAGCAGGTCCGGCCACCTCGTTCAAACCCGGCCCAAAAACACCCTCACCACTTGACCCAAGAAGCAGCTCAAGGCGCAAACCGCAATCCTTTGCAGATCCCATCGGTCCCTAACCAGGACTAATATGTACAACTTTCAACACCGTCGCTGTTAGAGACGCTCATCACTTTTGGGTAGCTCAAAGTCGCCGTTTGCTTGCATCCCACCACGCCGTGACGCCGTGGCACAGCTTCTACAGGTTGGCTCGTTCCGACCTGCCTACAACAGTACGAATGGCATTGCTCGCAACCCCTCATGCAACGCAGTTGCGAGCTTGTTGTGTGTGCTGCACTGTGACCACAATCCTTTCCGACGCGGCATTCCGGCTCTATAAGGTAGTCCATCCACATCGGGCTTTTCGACCAGCTCCGCCCGCGTGCCATCCATCGTCTGGACGCCGCCTTGTTGACAATATAAAGGATAATAAGGGCCCATGACTCCGCCCGGTTCCATGGAGCATCAGGCATTCCCCGACCACTGCGTTTTCCTCTACCTTCCGGACATAAAGATCATTGTACTCGTTCGGCGCTTTCAGACGATTGGCAGGCATTTTGCCTCCCGTGTCCTGTGCGTTGGCGGGCGTGACAGTGCAGCGGCGACATCACAGCCATGCTGCAACCCGTTAGCTTTTGCAGCTTGCAGCTTGCAGCGAGTCTCTGGATGGTTTTCCGCAAATTGTATTCGCTCTCAACGCAAGGAAACGCAAGGAAACGCAACGCTACGCAACGCAAATTAAACCAACTAGTCCGCTTCATTGGTCCCTGTTCCGATCCCGGCCCAGATTGGAACATTGTAAGTCGACAGCGAGGCTAGCAACGCAGCAAACCTGTGGCAAACGCTGATTGATGGCAACTCACCTTGAATACACCGTCCAAAAAAAACCTTCGGATTGATCGTACTCGATCTATCGTTGGACCACGTTTGGGCATCGTGCGCGCCCAGAAGACGCACTGCGGCGGTAACCCAGGTTGTTTGAGCCCTCTACAACCAGCCAGCTGTGACAAGTCAGACGCACAAAAGCATACCCACACCACACAAAGCTCGTACACGTCGCTGACTCTGTCACCATGCCTCTTGTCGCATCCTGGGCCGAAAAGAAGGGCCTTTGCTGGTCGACGTCCGGACCGTGCCCCTGGCCTTTCCCGAAGTGCGCCTGTCTTCCGTGCCCGGTTGATGTGATGTCTCGTCTCTGGTGCTCGACGGCCCTGCCCTGCTTCATCCACTCACTCAGAGCACCCAGCACCAACCTTCCAGCATCAACCGTTTCAAATCACATCACAGCGGGATCTGGGCCGAAATGTGGCACCTCTTCTTGTACCCGCCTTTTCCGTGGCTTCTAGAAGGCTCAATCCCCTGACGAAGAAGCCTCTTAGGCAGTCAGACTTCCTCACGCCTTCTTCGGCCCTCGAGCCAGCATCGGTGACTCCGCCTCTGTGGGTGCATTGGTCGTCTCCATATTCTGTTACTGAGTTACATCCGCTTCAGCTTCAGTTTTGTCCACCGAAGCCCTACGGAAACATGTGCTGGCAGCCTGCCACCGATGCGCTCCTCAAAGCGACACAAAGATCTGGTGGGCTTCGCCTTGGGCCTTGACTTGGCCTGCACAACTTGTCGCTAAACCCACAACGCACATGAGATTAGGGCCCCCAAAGACTCTCCCTGCCATGACCACGATTCTTCAGCAGTATCGCTCGCTTGCTGACACGGGGTTTCAACAGGGTATTGTAAGTCTGGAACCCGGGTCCGGACTAACAAGAGGGTGAGTCCTATTGCGACACCGGAAATCCAGGGCGGTGAAGTCTTCGCGCCTTAGCTGCACTGCCAGACCCATGTCTTACACGTGAGGTTCTTGTCTTTGACGTTGTTCTTGTCCCCTGATACGACCAGACTGCATGACAACTTCGCCTACCATGATCGACGCTAATCTTTGGGATCAATCTTTCCACTTACCGCCCCTCGGCGTGGAGCAACTACCTAGTGGCCAAGCTGAGGTTGCCGCCAACCATCGCGACTCCATCTCTTAAAGACCTGGGAGAGGATCAGTCCTGCACCAGGTCAGCGCTGCCAGCCACTTACCTTTGATGCTCGTGGCCACCCCGGTGTCAGCTATTTAAGCGGCGGCTCCAATCAAAGATTGCCAATCGTCCGGTTTAGGCCAGTGGCCCCGGCTACCCTACAGCTCCGTAAGTAGACAATGAAGATCGGCAATACCATTGCCTCCCCACCAAATTTCGATGCCAAAGCGGCGTGGAAACACACCTGCAAAACTCATTTGGAAAGGGGAGGGCACCGTCAGTGCCTGATTCGGGTTGTGCGGTCAAAGAGACAAAGGATACATGCGTTGGGCTCCCAGCCAACCTTGGCCTGTCCAGCTGACCAAGACGCTTGGCTATCACCAAGCGAGTCGCCCATGAACCGACCATTTGCCGTTTCTTCTTTTAGTCGTCCGCAGAAAATGGAACCACCGAGGGCGACCTAGGCCTTGTAGTCGGTCGAGGACCGCGCAGATCCCTTGAAGAATTTTGCAAGGTTTGACGTACGGCGCGGCCTATCTGAGTCTCCTCGCACCGTTTCGGCAATGTTTGCTTGCATCATTTTGGGGAAGAAGGAATAAGATCATGGGGGGGAATGGTTCGTCAGCCGCGAAACTCAACCCAACCCAAGTCTGCGCCCACCCATCCAACGAGGCCGTACCTAAACGGAGCGTGCTAGGGTTCAAGTCCTGTGACCCATCCAATATGTCAAAGAAATCGAGAGATCAGCAAATTGTCGATCTCGGCCTCTCGACCCGTTCGAGGCGACAACGTCCCCGATGTGATGGCAATGCTCAACTTAGCATCAATCGGAAATAGTGTCAAAGACGAGAGCGTGTAATGAGCGAGTGCCTCGAAGAAGCTACCCTTTCCGTCATCTACAAGGGTAACCACGTATATCTCCAGGTCCAATTGTCATCCGGCAGGCCTGGCTCCTTAGATCCGAGGGGGCTTCTTCAAAGGGAGGCTTCTTTCTCAATGCTACCTTTCGGCCAGAATGAGTTTGGGACACTCTCAGGTGCAGCATCACTTCTTGGTTTGAGAAATGTTGATTTTAAGGATGATGTTCTCATTGTGACTCCGCGATGCGAGGTTTTACGGACACGGATGGCCGCGGAAGCACGACAAGAAAGGGGCGCATCAGCCCGCCAGAGACAACCAGTACATGAGCCAGCCGCAATACGAGGCTTCCCGCGATAAGAGGATTTCCCCAAGGCTTTGCCCGCTTAATGACTCGGAATGAAGGTATCGGCTCACTCCTGTTCAAGTTTGATTGGGGCCTGTGTGAGCGTTTCATCAGTTGTTTTGCTGTGAATCTACTACCCAAGCAGGGCAGGGAGCGGGAAACTAAGCACCGACGAGACACCTGAGGTCAAGGCAGACGGCATCGTGCCGTCTAGTGGAAGACGAAATCATTCGTCCTGGTCATTTGATCTGGCGGCTTCAGCTGGCAACTGCTTGCAAGCATGCTTCGATGCTCCTAGTACCAGATTGCTCTCCCATGCAATTGATGTCGATAATTAGTATTACATCTCAGAAATCTGACTTTGTTCACGGTTTACGGTGACTTGACCAACAGCACTACAAGATGGAACAAGAACCAATACTTTGTAGAGAGATTCGAAGGGCTGTTTACGCAAATGCAGCCTTGCCCGCAACTTCATGTTCTGGTATTCGTCTGACCATCATCTCACGACATCAGCGCAAAGGTACTACTGTCCGTAACTTCATAGTTTGGTATTCTTCTTACTATCCTCTCCTCGCAATATTCCCCTTTCTCCTACTCGTTCCTCGGTATCCAAACAATAGCAAGCCTAGGATTATACAAGAACCATGCCTTGGCAGCAACGCCCGACAACAGACCACTGGTGGCATGGAAAAATCATCTAGAGGCGCGCCAAAATAACAAAGTGGTAATAGTACTAGTATCCAACCAAGACCAAAATTAACATGTTTCGCCTCCTTTTTTCTTATTCTCTATGATCCCGCTATGCAAAAAAAAAAAAAAAAAAAGGGTCAAATACGAAGGCAAGGCAAGGCAAGGCGGGCCGTACTAGTGGTACACAGTTGCAGTTGTAGCGACGAGATTGTGATGATGAGCGAGTCGGAACCCGCCATACTTGAAACGCGGTATGCCGTAATAATAGATGAATGTGCGATAGCTTGAATTATTGTTCTTCGTTGTTGTTGTTGCTGGTATCGAGTGGGTCGTTGTGGTGATGTTCACCGCGGGCTCAGGGGACTCCGTCCGGGGCCCTGTGATTTCCGCATCTTTTGCAACTCTTCTTCGAGTCTTCTCCTCTTGGCTTGCTCCTCCTGTACATGTGGTCAGTATGCCGTAATCGAGAGACAGGCAAGTGATGGGTGACGTACCCTCATATCCTCTTGGAACTTCTTCCTCTCCTCCCTCATCGTCGTCCGGAACTGTTCGCTGAGCATCGACGCGCCGGCACCGCGAGCGCCAGTGCCAGGGGTCACCTTGAGCCGCGCGTCGTCGAGCTCCTCCTGCAACTTGGAAATCTTGGTCCTCGAGGTGTTGACTTCGGCGTCGAGCTCGCCCTTCAGCGAGCTGATCTCGCCCTCGAGGCTCGACTTGACGGCGAGCGCGTCGTCGAGCTTGGTCTCGACCTCAAACTTCTCCCTTTCGGCGTTGATCGTCTCGGCCGTGATGTTCTCCAGCTCCTTGAGTGTGGAGGTGAGCTCCTCCTTAAGTCTGTCGACCTCTGCCTTGAGCTGGGTGACCTCGACGGTGCTCTTAACAGCCGCGGCCTGGTTCGCCCTCTCCTTACGAGAGCCGTACGCACCGTCGAGCTCGGCTTGTGCAATGGTCAGCTCCGTCTTCAGCTCCACGATCATCATATTGAAGCGCTCAATCTCCTCTTCCTTCTCCTTGACTTCCTTGTCCTTTGCTGCAACCTCCTGCTGCTTTTCAACTGCCGCTTTCTCTGCCCCGGCCAGCCTCGTCGTCAGGAGCGCCACTTCTTCGTTGGCTTTGCTGAGCTTGCTGTTCATCTCCTGGACGTTCGTGTTTAGGCTGGCAAGTGTGGTTTGAGCCTCCTTGCTGCTTGCCTCCAGGGACGCGATCTTGGCATCGCGTTCCCTGATCTCGTCTAGCGACTTGGTACTACTGGACTCGTTGGCCATGCGCGTAGTGGTAGCAGCCTCTGCCTCTTTCTGCGCCTTGACGAGTTTCTCCTGAGCCTCAGCAACTTCCTCTTCAGACCGTTCGAGCAGCGACCTAAGTTGATCCAACTGATCCTGCTTGAGGGTAAGCTCGAGTGCCTTCTCTTCCTCGGCCCGCATCTGAGCTGCTCGAAGCTGCTCGAGCTGATCCTGCTTTGTCCTCAGCTCCTCATCCTTTTGCGAGTCGGACTTGTTGTTCAACTCCCGCTGCTGCTTGATCTGGCGCTTGAGAACAGACTTCTGCTCTTTGAGACTCGTGGCCTGGCTATAGAGCCACTGCACCTTTGTAGAGAATGCTGACAGCGAGTAAGGCTCTGATGTATCGACGGCTTCATCTCCAGACATGTCGTCATCGTTATCGGATCTACCCTGCTCCATGCGTGTGCGGCGTCGGTCTGCCTTCTGCTGCTGAATGCTTGCGAAACCAGTCTGGATAATTTCCCACAGGCCCATCAGTACGACTTCAGCTTGTTCGTCGTCTTGCTTCTTGACTGCCGTCTTGCTGGCAGTCTTCTTCATCTCCTCTTCCACAACAGACAGAGCGCGCTGGAGCCACTCGAAGTGCGCGTTTAGGCCAGAGACGGGAACTTCGGGGTAACTTGGGTCAACTCCAACGAGAAGATCTCGCATTTTCTGGTTCACACCCTCGAGGCGGCTTTCTGCTTGTGTGAGAGCAATGGATGCTTGTGCTGCGGCAGCCTCCGCATCCTGTAGACTACCAGTCGACTGTCCTTGAATCTCTTGTTCCTGGCGTATAGTCGATAGACCTGCCTCCAAGTACTCGAATTGGCTTCCCAGTGTAGCGCCAGGATCGGCCGGTCCGTCCACTGGTATCGAGGGAGGCTCACGGAAGCCTCCGTTCTTAGCTGGATTAGTGTTTATAATTACGTCTCGTAGCGTTTTGTTGTATGTCGTGAGCTTCCATCCTGCGTCAGAGACGGACTGTAAGCGTTGTGCATTCTCTTTCTTGAGCGAATCGATCTCGCCGCTCAAAACATCGGTTTGTGCCTGAAGCTGAGTGTTCTCTTCCCGAAGGCTGTTCAACGCGTCGGCTTGCGCGCGTAGTCTTGCGTTCTCTTCCCTCAGCTTCTCAGCCTCTTCTCGCAGTTGGGTATCTTGCTCTCGACTCGGCGCCTTCGAGGGAATGTCTAGCGGAGCTACTCGGGGTTTTCCGCGAGGCGGGCTTGTGTTGCTTAGATCCTGGAAGAGTCCGTCCTCGTCGAAGGAGTCGTCCCCGACCTCTAAACTATTGCGGCCGTTGGAATAGGTGTACAGACTCTCAGGGCTTCCAGGTATTCCATTCATCAGCTGCGCAGGGAGTTGATTCATGGGCTTCTTCGATGCCTTGTGCGTCAGCTGGAGGATGCCAGCGGTGTGCTCCAGGAGACCCCTCTGCGATTCCACCAGCCGCTGTTCGAGGCTCCGCAATTCGTTGGACAGGTCGTCGACTCGTTTTTCGCTGGCCTGTCGCTCCGCCTCGGCCTCACGCAGAGATTCTCCCGTGCTGTTGCGATTGCTGCCCATCAGACTCCTCCTGTTGCTAGCATCGGGTTGCGAGTACAGCTTGGCCATAGAAACGGCTGCATCTCGATACTTGGTTTGAATAGCGAGGTTCGTGCGTATTTGTTCCACCCGCAAACTCAAGGACTGTATCTGTTTCTTGAGCCCGTCCACCTCCTCCTGCGACAATATTCGGTACTGCTTGCTATCCGTCAACGCCGTCTCCGTCAGTAAATGGACTTGGATTGGGTCCTTGAGGTCGACAAGGGCGGAGCTCGGCGGCAGTTTCGCATTCGTCTACATGATGTTAGATGTGTTTGCACTAAGCTGGCTAGACCAGCGAAAATGACTGACCGGATTGACGCGCAGAGGCGCCCCTCCAAAGTTGTTCATAATGTCTCTCCTGAGGTCATCCCCACCTACTGACCTCCCGCCAGGGCCAGCAGCCCGGGGCGGCGAGGGCTTCCCCGGGGAGTACCCGTTCATGATATGGAGTCAGATGTGTGGCAAGGGACGGTACACGTCAAATCATTATATTACAGCGGAATCGTAGAGTCGTAGGTAGCTTAGGATGTCGTGGCGGCCGTGAGAAGCATGTTCGTCGAACAGTTACGAGAAGGAGGCTGAGTGTTCGTACCCACGTCGGATGGGGACGTTGGAACAATGGTACAGCAATGCGTGGAAGCACAAAGGGTGGCTGGTGGCTGGCGGCTGGCGCGTGGGATTTGTGCCGCAACTCCTTGGTGGGAAGCAAGGGGGTTGTTCGCAGTTACAGAATCGAGGTCGCTATCGTCGTGGAGACGGGACGTTGTCGGGACGGATTCAGCACCAGCCGCTTCGCAAAGGGCATTTGAGGGGGATAAAATCCGTAGTGACGAAGATAAAGAGAGTGTATCTCCTGGCGAGGCAGAGACATTCTTTTCTCCCAGAATGAGAAGTGGATCGGCGGGTGCAAAGGCGATTGACTACAAGGTGCAGGTGCAGGAGCAGGTGCTGCTCATGCTGTTGAGTTTGCCGTCCCAAACTTTGAGTTGGCTGACCTGTCCCAGCGGGTGGCAGCCTGGCAGACAGACACATTTGACACTACCGCAGCAGAAGCCCACCCCGCCCCCTGGTAGACCGTTCATCATTGGCGATGCTTAGCAGCTCCCACTTTGGGGGGGCTTTCACGCTAAGCTTATTTGGGTTCGTCCCTTGCCCATTTCCCTGCGTCGCTGCGGCTACCTTCCCTTTGCGCTATTGGCAGATGGACCTGTTTCTTGACGGTACGTACTGTCCGCGCTAGCGAAAGTCAGCGGACCGTTTTTTTAGTTTATGGATGGATCTCTGATTGCTGCATCCGCCTTATGGATATACCTATGTTCCTTGGGAAAGAAGAGGCTCTGTATGCTTCTCTCTGGGGGAGTGCTGCAAAGTTACCGAATTTTTGCTTCCTCGATTGGGAAACGATGTCGAATGTCGGCGCCGTTCTATGTCGAGTTGGTCGTCGTCGCATACGGATGATAATGACCGGCCTGCATCTGCAATCTGAGAGAGAATTACACCGTAATTTCGGACTCCTGATGACCGGGATCTTGGGCCGAGATCACAGTGTGCTGGACCACTTTGAGAACCACCCGAACCCCTTTCGGGCACCTCAATATTGGTCATCCCAAGAATGGCCTTCGGTCTCCCCAGGGCCACCATGAATTGTGAATGCCTCATCGGGTTATATGTACTACCAAGTGGGCGGCACCCTCTGAATCATTCGATAGATCGAGCACCCCAATTCTTATGTTGCATTTTCGTCGGATGGTAACATTCATGTTGCGTATGCCCTAGCTTCAATGCACTCCCTAATCATTTGTACAGAGTCTCTATGGAATCTCGGGGATGCAAAGCAAACCGAGCCAGAGCAAGTGGTCGCGCATACCTGGCGTTACGAAAGGCTTCAATTGCAAACCCATGTCCTTGTTAGTGATAGCTTGTCTCTTTCAGGATTCTGTCGTTTTAGTCTTCACGCCTATCTTGGCCAGCTGGTCTCCTCCGTCCTGCGTCCTCATCAACCTGGCCCTGCGCGCCCGAGGTGGTTGCAGATGAGCCCTCTCCCTCTAATCGCCTTCGGAGACCATCGAATTCCGTTCGTCGTCTCGGCGTCCTGACCCCAACCATCCATCCCGGAAGGCGCCACTTTGTCAATGTAAGTGGGAGCAAGTCGTTCCTCCACGAGCATCCTACTACCCAGCCTACCGCAGCCCCCAGCAATGATCCCGGCCATTGGAAGAGAGCCAGTTGCAAGGCGAGGGCGTAGCGGTATGACTTGTCAGAGAAGGTCAATCCAACAAATTGGTCGTTTGTAGGCGGAGCTGAGGACGCCGCGACGCGATATCGATAGATGTTTGGAATCGCTGCATGATACTGCGCGAGTATGGCGAAGATGATCGGGGTTGGGCCGGCTGGCATGTAATTGAACAGGCCCGCGGTTAACGGCCGCAGTATGATGGATAAGAAGACAGGAGGTATCATTGCAGAGAAGAGCGCGGATACAGCTATAAATGACTGCGGCGGTGTCAGCATCACCCAACCCGATGCCCGGGCCTCATGGCAACTCACGGCGTATTTCCTCGAACCCCATATTTGTTCAACGACCCTCAAGTGGTAGAGTGCCATTGATGCGAAAAGCACCTCGCTCGAGTTGGTACAGCATAGTTGGTACGTCAGCAGGCGCCAGAACTGGTGGTAGCGCCATAAGTGGGTGTCTACGACGATATAGAAGTAATGCTTGACGTCGAGTAAGCTGGCCGCGATGGAGGTCGTTACCAGGCCAAGAACGAGGGTGCGTGTCACCGGCGCATTCGTGAAGGACATGTTGTGGTTGGACGTCTATCGCATCGTAGGGCAGAGTGCTCTCAGCAAGACTGAATCGGTGGAGGGAGAGTGAGGACGATCCCTTGCCCTTGGGTTGAGGGACCTCCTGTGGCTCGATTTTGATACCCCTTGCTGCGGGGGATTCTTTGGAGCTACCGCAAAACTTGAGTAGATCGCGTTCTGATAGAGTTGCGCAAGTTGACGGTGTTGTCGCAGTCGACGGGGCAGTGTCGGAAAGCGAAGGGCGGCCAGGGAATCGTTGATGCCAGGTGGTTTCTTTGGCTGTCGTCAAACCCACTCAGAGCTTGATGCACATCCAGCTTGTGCGTCCCTTCCAGCAGAGTGTCCTTGTTCAAACTGGACTTTCCCTAGTACAATCGGGGGATGGCCCCAGCCTCAGGCGTTACGTCGACGCCACGAAAAGGGTGGGCCCCTAGAGCGCAAGACCCATCTGCTCAGACTTTCCCATGCAATGACGAGGCTGGAGGGCTGGGTGTGGCTTGCCCACACGCCAGGTCCCCGGATTGCCATTCGCTCAACGAATTGCTGGGCAGCTCTCCACCCTTGCGTGCCTTGCGTAACCCTGTCACGAAGTATTTTTGTGAGGCGCAGAGCTCTGGGCACACGCCGCCGCCGCCGCCGCCGCCGCCGTTACTCCAAGCCTGTGCTGGCCCGGATGCTGAGATCCCAGGCGGGTACTTGCTCAAGTTGCCAACAGAGCTGACGCGACCTTCACGTAGTACCACCACTGGTTTCTTGTTCTTATTTGTAATTCTTGTGGAAGATATCCGACTTGCATTCCTTTTCGAGTTTCTTACCTTGCCCAATAAACCTTCCGACGCATAATCCTGCACATTGACAGCTTTCCTTTTTCCCTTACGCAAAGCATTGCGCCAGAACCCGGTTAGACAGTATGTCGGAGATATTCATTAACCACATCACCCGATGGCTCTTTAGTTCTCCGCCCGCCGAGTGGGCGATCGACCAGCTGCGCGAACTTCTCATCGGGGCCTTGAAACAAGGTCCAGTCCCCCAACATGTCGCATTCGAAATGGACGGTAATAGGCGGTATGCTCGCGACAGGAAGATGGAGACGATAGAAGGCCACCACCACGGTTTCGAAGCTCTAGCAAGAGTGCGCAGTTCATCAGCTCTATTCGACGTGGCTTTGGCTGACTTCAATCTCACCAGGTTCTTGAGATCTGCTACAAGTGCGGCGTCAAAGTCGTGACCGTCTACGCCTTCAGTATAGAAAACTTCAACCGCCCCCAATACGAGGTCGATGGGCTTATGCAGCTGGCCAAGGTGAAGCTCGAGCAGTTGACGAAACACGGAGATATCCTGGATCGATACGGCGCGGCGGTTCGCGTGCTTGGACAAAGAGATCTGATCCGCAAGGATGTTCTGGAGGTGGTCGACCGGGCGGTTGACATGACGAAGTACAATAAGCAGTAAGCAGGCAGAAGCCACGCCGCAAATAAACCAGGCTGACAGAATTAGGAACGTGCTGAACATCTGCTTTCCGTATACTTCGCGGGAAGAAATGACAACGGCCATGCGATCCACGGTACAGGAGTATATGATCCCCCCCGGACCCAAGTTCACACCCTTCCCGGCTGCTCGCATCTCGCAAAAGATCATGTCGAAGCAACTGGAACATCGGGAGCCTCTTCCGACCATTCGAGATACGTCGCCGGCTCCCTCTTCACGATCAGACGTTGACGACGGCGCATCATCGTCGACTACTCTTCCTCCCGACTCGCCCTCGCCGCCGAGGCACCACGCTGTTGCAGTAGGCGGGCACCGGCTGAAGAATCCAGAGACTATCACGGCTGAGACGCTCAACAACCACATGTACACTGCCGGAAACCCTCCGCTGGATATCTTTGTGAGAACTAGTGGCGTAGAAAGACTCAGCGACTTCATGCTTTGGCAGTGCCACCAAGACACGCATATCTTCTTCTTGAAGTGTCTCTGGCCCGACTTCGACTTGCAGCACTTCTTGCCAGTGCTTCTGGAGTGGCAGTGGAGGCAGAAGCAGGTTGAAAGAGACGAGAGGCCGAGACAGGCGACGGCCAAGGCACGAAAACTTGCATGAACCCGTCCAGCTGACCATACCGGCCGGAAGTTTCCAAGGGCAGGCGTTTTATAAGTCGATTGTAATTGTGTTAAGCTAGGAAGAACCAGCTTTGCGGTCTTTTGTTCATGGTTGTGGAACCTCAAGAGAACGGGACTGATACCACGGGAGAGTGTTGGTAAACCATATTGATATCCATCAAATTCAAGTTTTTTAAGATAGAGAAGAAGATCTCCAGGTAAAGCTGGAGAAATTGGCCGCGCATTTGTAAATTACGGCAATGCGAACTTGATGGCGGAATGACCTCTGCAATTTCGCAGGCCACAAAGGAACACCTCCATGGACTTATCAAGTTGTGGCGCCCACGATGTGATACCCCAGGAATGACGCAGTCAGTGTGGCTGATTCGGAATGAGGTGCGTTGCTCATAACAGGAGTTGGCGTGAGTGGGACGTGGCTTGAAAAGCGGAGTCGGTGCCGTGTTCCTTTTTTTTCCCTGTTCTTTCTTGGGGCAGGTAATTGTGGCTGGAGTGAGCCAGGCACAGGGCTAATGGCAATCTGAAAGGGACCGACCGCGGGTGGACAGGTTCGGGTGAGCTCCGCTCAGGCCTCAGGCCCAAATCACTCGCTAAGTGACGGTTGGGGTCGCTCAACCAGCCAGTCCTCCTCCGCCCGCGGGAGCGGCAGATAGGTCCCCAAAAGTGCGTCGGATGGATGATGGAAGATCCCGCGGCGACGCTCTTGATTTTCCTCGCGCACTTCCCCCTCTCACCACAGTCATTCTACACCGTCTAGGTTTGCATATCGATCAGAATGCCTTAGTATCCTTGGTTTCATTCGCAAATTTCCAAAATCTCGTTTCCTCCCACACGAGAACGCTCTCAACTTTACCTTTCCTCATACAGCAGCTGTTCATGACTCCCGTCAGTGCGCCTGGCCATCGTTCTCTCTCTTCACGACACTCGACGTCGCGCGTTCCTCGCGACACGCCGATCGAAGTCGCGATGAAGTCGGCAAAGACTTCGTCGGGGGATACTCCATCGAGTCGGAGGTCCCAACCGGTTCGACAGACACGAACCAACCCCCCCCGGGTCTCGTCTGGCCTTCGAGGATCAGCGAATGGGCGGGACTCTCTTGTCGGGGGCTCTGCTTCTGACCAACCCATCGACATCTACCCTGCCATAACGTACTTCTCCGATGCCATTGCGGCTCTCCCGAAAGAGCTCGTCCGACACTTCACCCTACTGAAAGAGGTCGATGCCAAGATCTTCGCTCCCGAGGATGCGCTCTTCAAACTCGTCGATGCTGCCATGAACGCCCCTCCTCCACAACCCCGACCAGTAAACGATGCGTCCAGCAGTGTCGCTCCTGCTTCAGCTCCGATGAGTGCGCAGAATAGTTCCAGTGGAGGACCTCTGGGTGGCCCGGCTCCTCCACCAGCTCCCTCGACCGACGGTTCCTACGCGACATCCATCTACGACCCGAGCAACTTTCCTCGGAGACAGCTGTTCCGACAAACGGCCTACAAGATCCAGGAGATGCTTGGATCGTTGGAAGAGAAGAACCATGTCATCTCGACCGCGAACGATGCTCTTCAGAAACAGCTGGCTCGGATTGACGATGTCTGGCCTCACGTCGAGAACGAGTTTAGTGACGAGGCGAAGTGGGGGAGCGATACACATTGGGCATACCCTGAGAACAGAGCTGCCACAAAGGCGGCACACACCGAGCGCTCAAGGCGCGAGGGAGCTGCTGCGATTTCTGCAGCTGCCCAGCAGCTAGCTGAGGAAGCAGCCGCTCGGAGCGACGCACGCAAGCAAGCTGTTCAGGCCAAAAAGAGTCAGAAGACGCAGGCGCATCTCCATGAATCCGAGCTTGATGACGCTGAAGGTCGCAGCAAGCCAGAAACAAATAAGAAAGGCCATAGTGGTGGTAAGGCACGCAAGGCAGCTGAAGCCGCTGCCAACGTTGGCCTGGGAATCTCAACAAATGGCAACACAAACGGAACCGCGCCGCAACCCAAGAGACGCAAAGTCGACAAGACCCCTAGCGGCAATAATACGGCGGAGCGGGCAATGAGTACCGTCTTTGGAACAACAGCTTCAAAGGCGAAGACCACAAGCCCGAGAGAGACCCCTGCGCCAGAAGGCGGCGGCCCGAAGAAGCGAAAGGCTCTCCCAACGGGTACTGGCCAAGCAAAGAAAAGGTTTAGTTCCCTCTGTTTGCGACGGATTGAAGAGAAATTACTGACCCCCTCTGTAGCAAGAACGGAGCCGTCGGCATGTCCCCGTCGGTTGCTTCGTCTCCTGTTCTGAGCAACTTCCCCGACCCAGTGTTACCTAGAGGCTCCCCTGCGCCGACCGTGACCCCTGTACCACCAGCTCCCAAACCTCCTACTACCTCGAAGGTCAAGCAAAGCACTACACAAGCGGCTGTGGAAGGTGGTAAACAGTCTCGGCCGCCGTCGTCTGCATCGGCAGTAAAACCCAATGGAGCAGCGCCGCCGCCGCCGCCGATCCCCGAAGTGGTGCCTCTGACTGTCTTGCCCAAGCCCGCTGCCGAAGTAAAAGCTGCGTCTAAGGAGCCCTCCGCGCCGCCTGTACTGGAGCCTACAAAGAAAGAGCCCGATACCGCTGAGCCAAGCATCAAGCCAAGCATACCGGCGGCGAAGCAAAAGAAGGAAACACCGAAGCCCGAGGAGCCTGAGACGCCCGTCGAGGCAGCAACAACTGCCCAGACAGCCACCGCTGCAACTGTGACAAAGAGCGGACGTGCTAGCAAACCATCTACGCCAGCAATGGCAACCTTCCAGGAGGCAGCGAGACCTAAGTCGGCCCGCACTACGGACGGCACTAAGACAAACAAACGGAAGAAGACCAGCGCGGTCATGAACACAAAGATGGCCAAGGCGGCGGGCCAGCTCGAAGAAAGTGACGACGTCGAAGAAGCAGAAATCCAGGCGGGCAAACGCAGCTACGATTACACGGAGGATGAGCCGACCTACTGCTACTGCCAAGGTGTAAGCTACGGCGAAATGGTAGCTTGTGACGCAGCAAATTGCGAGCGGGAATGGTTCCATCTCAACTGCGTAGGTCTCAAAGTGGCCCCGACGGGAAGCTGTAAGTTTGATGCTCTTTATTGGTGGTCACCCGCTTGTGTCCGTACACTAATTATGAATCAGCGAAATGGTATTGCGAGGTGTGTCTACAAAAGTTTTCAAGGGCAGGCAAGAAGCTCAGCCACAAGTACAACGTGCTACCGAATTCCCCCAACATGTCGGGCAAGCCACGGCCCCCTTACCCCTGAGTAGGTTGTTACGAAGTGAATGTGTGGCAACTGAGGGTGGTATATACCACAATCCATATGGCGTTGGTTTCATTCTACCATTTGGCATGAAAGTCGGGCGCAATGCGGTTTTGTCGACTCCTGGATACCTTTCAAGCATCAGGGTCGCGTGGGAAATAGATCAGGGGGCTAATGGTACATATACTTGCTGCCTCTTTGGGAATGGAGTAACAGTACATACTGTCGGGACGGGACGAAAGAGGCGCGCGGAGTTTTTTTTTTTTTTCTTTTTGTGGTTCAGCTGGGTTGTTTGGGGCAGAGAGCAGCGTTCTGGCCCGTCATGTCGAAAGCGTCTTTCCGTGTAAGAGGTCACGTGTCGGTGGCCACAGTCGGGCTCCTTTCTCCTGTAGTTCCCTATCGGGCGGGATGGGTATCTACAAATAATTGGGAGCTATGGCTCGAAAGTCCAAATGTTCCCATTGCGTGAGGATTACCATTACTTGATCGGAAAGGTCTTCCTTCTTCGGACGGTTTCTTTCTTTTGGCTTTCATGCCGTCTTACCCGGTGCTTGAGCCCCAGAGAGTTTCAAATCCATCCTTCCGCCGCGGAAGCTGAGCCGGGCGTCGGACCTGAAGCTCCTGGGGCCCTGGGGACCAAGTTGCCCGGAGCCTGGAGGAGCAAAGGGGACTCGTCAATAAAGGTGTCCGTAATGCATGACATTGTGACTTTTTGGCCGAGCAATGCGGCGGTGAGATCGTGAAGATGGGAATGCAGGCAAGGTGCGGATACCGACGAGCAGGGGACTTCCGGTGGGATAGTTCCTTCGGGGCGAATTGCCGACGCGGTCTAGGCTCTTGGTTTTAACGACTGTCAACAGAGAGGCGAACAGCTTTGCCATCTAGGGTTCAGCGCCGGCAACGTCCGAATTTGGCCAGACCACTGGGGAGGCTGTGGCTTATTGACGTTCGTGCGCACCTTTACTGCGTGAACCCCCGATAAGTCGGTGAATAGTGAATACCCCATAGCAAAGGGGAGAAAATATTGCTTGTCTTGACATGATCCATTTCATTGGGCTGGCCGAGCTGGGATGCGGGTTTGGGTAAATCTCCTCACTCCGCCTTGAAAGCCCTTGAAATAGAAAAGCGTGTTACCGTTGAGCCGCCGTGATGGCTGACGGCGCTTGAGGAAAACATCCGCGGCAGGAATTGTGTTGGCTGTGAAGCTGAGGAGTGTCCAGGTAAGGTACGGAGTGCAGATGGCAAACGTGTGATGTGAGGCTAAGGAAGCGTCCAGTGTGTGCCGTTGTCTGAGGTAGTTTGCTTATCCGAGTTTGGATTGGTTGGGCTTGGGATTTTGGGTTGATACGATGGCCCCATGGCAATGATTTTGAGGGGAAAACCTGGGGTAGGGTTGACGGGTCCTGAGTGGCTGGGAGGAGGGGCGAGCGGGCAGGCATCTTTTGGGTGTTCACTGTGTGTTATAATTGGACTGTGGGGTAAAACGGAGTTGCGGCTACGCCGATTGCCCAGTGGTTCGTCGACAGAAAAGACGGTAAGACACTCCAGGGACCATCGTCTTGTTCTTCGTGCTAGGTATCCGACTATCCGTACTACTTGCTAAACGGCCTTGTTCCTCAGACCTGTTCCAGAGGTGCCGGAGGAGTCTAGAGAGGGGCGGCACTGTTGTTTTGCGCGTGACCGACCCGTAAGGGAAAACATGGTTACGACAGCTATTACTATGACTAACAGCAAAAGCACGATGGCGGATCGGGTACAAGTCAGGAGAACTAACACCACGGCCGGTGCAAGTCGCCAGGGCCTTGCCTTGGGGCTTGCCTTTGCGAACGTGCAAGAAGCATGGCGCCATTAGACGGAGAGATGGAGACATTTCTCTCACCTAATGACTACTACTACCGGCCTCGGACATTGGTATTTGGGACAGTTTTCGCAATGCTTGCTTGGTTGCGCGCCTTGCTTTTTTGTTGTTTTTGCAATGCGTATGACGCTTAGGACGGCTGGGTCGGTTTCTCCGGATTTCTCGGTTTCAATTGCTCGTTGAATGCTCCTGGTCATCAGACAAAAGGTAGAAGTCTCCCGGTTTCAGGAATTAGTCAGGAAATTGAACCTCGAGGATGACGACGGGAGCCAACATGGGGTTAGTGTGATGTCCGACGCCTCGCTTTCACAATTTTGCAGCTCTCTCGTCCGAGGAGTCGATGGACGAAAGGCACAGTCGATGCTGGAGCCAACCTAGACCCAACACCGACAGGGTGGCACCAGGCGGTTGGCCTCGGTTCTGTCACGCTTTTTCCCATCTTTCCTCCAGTCTTTGATTTCCAGGAGTGGATTATCTGGGGCAACACCACGCGGCCCAGCGACCCCAGCCTTTTGAATCCGCCAACTGCAGATCCGCTAGGGTGCCATAAGTGCTAGGATCTTCCCGCTCATTCTTACAAGTGCTTCGTACCTCTTTTCACCTGGTTTCTGTCTTTCTGCTGATAGGTTTCAGGGTCTGAGCAGGGAGAGACGGACAGACGCCAGCGGCAACAAAGGATGCGAGAGGCTAGATCTGCAGATAGAAGGATATGCAAACCGGGAGTCTTTGGACTCGCACATATCGTCTGGGCTCATTCCTGCAATGTGTAGGAGCAAGGGGGGTATGGATGGTCACCGCCCATCCAGCTGCATGAGAGAGCTGACCATGACTGACTCTTGCTCTGGCATGGACGTCTATGCGGGAGCCTCTCGCCATGGGCTCGGGAACACCTTCCAGGCAGGCCTTCTTTTTTCAGCTCGGAACGCTCTTTGGTACCGCCTCAGACTCGACCTTGCCTGCCTGCCTGCCTGCCTGAATCGAAGGCGCGTGCTTGTGTCCGGCGCACAGCCCGATTTTTCTTCTGCTCGCTTCGTTCCGGCAGAGAAGGTCAGATGACTGATTGATGAGGTGGCCTGGACATCCGTCCATATCCAGTTGAAGAACGGCTTTGAAAAACAAACACTGTCTAATATCGGTCTGTCCCAGTCTTTCCGGGTTGCTGGGGGACTGATATTGCCGTGGTCGAGATCTGGCGCCCATCTGGCAACCGGAACGGCCGTCTCGGTTGCGCTATCCCGATCTCGTAGTCAGCAACATCGCCAACACCAAGCTCACAGGGAACCACAGCGGGCTCTCTCGGTGTTTGAGGTGGGGCGCCGCCTGGAAAAGCCGAGCCGAGGAGATGCTCTCTTCTGATGTGACTCTTGTGTGTGTGTGTATGTGTGTGTGCGTGTGTGTGTGTGTGTGTGTGTGGATGTGTGTGTCTGGATGTGAGATGCCCCCATGTAACCGGGTATCAAGTCTTGTCGTCTACGATCTCTGGCGCAGAGCCTTCATATGCTGCAAAGGTTGTCTTGAGTTTGATGTCGCTTTCGATTTGCCTTCATTCTTATGCACCTAGAGAGGCTGTACGCAATACGTACTAACAGTGTAACACGGCATCAAAGTGCGAGCAAGGCCCAGGGGAGGGGCACAGGAGATTCTTTCCGCAAAGCATCTCTTGTCTGGGCTTAGGTAATCTGGCATCTTACACGTTCCATCCGCGCAAGCGTGACTTCGCTCTTTTCAGGGAGCAATAATTACCTTAGGTAGCAAGGGAAAGAAAAACTCGGCGTCTGGGCGCCACGCTGCAAAGTTTTCGCTGCAAAGTTTTCCCAGTTTCTCTTAGTCGTCGATTGTATCCATTACGTTTCCGACCCGCACTTCTTCGCCTCATCTGATCACTTCTCCAAGCCAAGCTTTCCAACTAATAAACCAAGCAGTCTGTCCAGCCCTCAGCTTTGCGCAGCCGTCGGCCCTTGCGTGCGCTGTCACGCTCACACTTCTCCCAGTCTCTTCCCCGTCGTTTTGTGATGCGGAAGTGGGTCGTCCCTTTTCATTTTCCAAAGATCCCGTACCATCATCCATGATCCCTTGGACTCCGTTCCGGGCCCCCAGCCTTTCTCTCTTTTCTTCCCAGCAGGACCGACCACCATCGACCGACTTTGCCTTGCCAGCCGCTCTTCTTCCGTACACTTTGGTCGTTTATACCGTCGTTGCCTGACTTGACATCAGTTTTCGTCCTTATGGAGTCACCATCTTCAAAACTCGGGATAGCTATGACTATCTTACATCCAGTCAGGTGACGGCCTGTCCGAGGCAAGGTAAGACAAGCGCAGAAGACGGCCATTCCTTGACACATCTTTGCGCATTCGTTTAATGACTGAAGAACCTGAGCAATGATGTTATGCTTCAGCTCATGGCTCACTGGCTCAACTCGGTACACCCATGACATTATCATTACTAAATACCCGAATACTCGTCCAATGGTTGGTTGCCGGCCAACTTCGTGTCGCCAGCATTTCTCTCCTTCGCTAAACATTCATCTCTTCTCCCATCCGGACCTGGTGTTGACTGGTCGTCCCTGGACCTTGACATGGACCACATACGGACATCGTCTACTGTCCGTGAGCACGGGTAGAAGCATGTCACCTGGGGGCGGCACACCAGTACCGCGCCGTGTCGTGTACGGACAAGGCTCCGCCTCCATCTGGATGAAGCTCTGGATGCTCATGTGACGGGGCATGTCTCCATTCCTCTGTTTCCATTACCCAATTTTGGGCCATGAGCAACCCTTTGCCTCTTCAATTTGCTATATTAATCTGCGGGCCGCTCACACAGGCTCGGCTACTAATGTCCAGTGCAAGCCACTCCTCGGCATGACTCTGACGAGACGTCCACAACCTGCTTCTTGCGATACACGCCCAGTCCCGAAACCCAATCCACTCGCGATCCGTGGATGAGCCTATCTGCCCCTGTCTCTTGATTCTCACGCCCCGTATCCGTACGTCTTGGAGTTTCTACTCCTCTCTCCCCATATCACCTCAGCGATTGCGAAGAGCACGTATTGTCTTGTGCCACGCACTCCCTTCACCCCCTCGTCTCGACTACTTCCCCAAGTTCCAACGTTCCCTGGTCTTGGTCTAGTAACTTCACAAGCGGTTGAGGTTGGACCACCTGAACACGCCAAACCACCATCTTCCCCGCATCACCACAACTTCCTCTTACCTAAAAGCCCCGGTCTTTGACTAATAGAAAAGTCGTTTCTGGCTTGCTCTGTCGACGGACCCGGGCCCCCGGTGTCGTCGCTCCTACATTGCAGCTCACACTTGACGCTTTGCCGTACGACTAGCCTCCCTCTACCTCACCATACCCCGGCTTGTCAGAGAGAACGGAAGACGCAAGGAAAGAGAAAAAAAAAAGAGGAACAGCCAAGAAACGTGTGTGCGTTTAGTGGTGTGTCGTGCAAACCATTGAAACAACGAGCGCAGCGACCCGGACCTTCAAGGTCAAAGTAAAGTTCCTGCAGCCATGGCTTCTCCGCGACTTCTCCAACTGCAAATCTCGTCCCAGTACCACACCCCCCCGGGCACTCCTCCGACAGGCCACAACCACCCTCATCCTCTGACCAAATACAAAATGGACAGCCCAGAGCCGCATCGACCTGCTACCCCAGAAAAGAATGGCAGGTCCTCTTTCTCGTCCATTCGCGAGAACGACTCCGATTTAGCCCAGACGTTCACTTCCTCCAAGGTCTCTTCCTACGCACAGAAAGCTACCAACGCCGTGTTCGACGACTCCTCTGCATCGCCTTCGCCGATTGCTTCACCCTCCCTCGAGATGGCAGAAGTCCAATTCATGCCCCCCGTCACCCACCCCAGCAGCAGACTTCATGGCGGCTGGTATCCTGCCTCCAGCTTCAAGGGCTGGAAGCAAATCAATGTCAAGGGCAAGACGGCCAGCAAGAGCTTCAGTGACCTCCAGGCCTTGCACATGTCATGGAGCACCCCCCCGCCATCACCCAAGGGCAACAAACCCAACAATGCCCGCGCACCTATGGAGAGACTGCCCTTGGAGATCCTGGGTAAGATTCTAGTCATACTGTTAACGTGGAACCTCGCGAAGCTGACCATGCACTAGGATCGATCATTGAGCTCCTCGTCCTCGACATTCCTCCGCCGTACGGCACTGCGCGCCGCAATGTCGACTTGATGTCCTTGCTTCTGACCTCGAGATCGGTCCACGCCGCGACCCTCAATACCCTGTACAAGCATATCACCATTCCTCACTCGAGAATCTTCCGCAAGTTCCTGTCCAACATCACAACACACCCTGCGCTGGGCACGATCGTACGGCGCATCGACTTTAGTCACTTCAACAACGCAACCCTCTTCGAGTCTGCCAGCGAGCGCAAGGGTACGCGGAACCTGACGGCGGATACGTTGCTGCAATGCTTGGAGCTCACGCCACACCTCCAAGAGTTCCTGGCGATGGAGCACATCGACGATGACATCGGCGCCGAGGTGCTGCAGAAGCTCTTCTTCGGCATGCCTCGCTTGCAGGCATTGGACTTTGCCGGGTGCACATCACCGTCTTTCAAGAACTCCTTTGCGTCTCTGGTAGACATGGACTGGCCCGAGACACTTTCGATTACGCGCCTCTCGCTTCACAAGTGCTTGACACTACCCCCCGCGCTGTTCGAGAAGATCATGCCACGCCTCACCAACGTCACGCACCTGGACCTTGCCCAGACCAAGATCACGGACCGGGCGCTGCAGGCCATTCCGAAGACGGCCAATATTACCCACTTGAACCTCGCCAAGTGTACACTGCTCACAGCGCCCAACGTTATCAACTTCCTTGCGACCCATCCGGCGGTCAGGAATCTCGTCTACCTGAGCGTGGCCACCGATGCTCGGAGCCATCAGCTGCTGGATGTGGAGGACGTCTCGCAGCTCATCCCTGTGCTGCCCAAGACGCTTCGGTCTTTGAGCCTAAAGGGTAGCCGCATGGATGACTCGCACATTGAGTTGCTGCGACCGCTAACGAAGTATCTGGAGGAGCTCGCCGTTGGGCGTGATATGGACGTCAATGCCGCCGCTAAGCTGCTCGAGCCGGCGGACGAGAAGAAGGAGGAGAAGCCCCACATGATCCGATATCTAGATCTTTCGGACCTCTGGGGTAGCGAGCTGGACATTGTGGACCTGTTTTCGAGTCGAAACTCGCTGCTAAAACCGAGCTCGGTGCCGCTCGAGGTGGTCGAGATCTCGGAGCAATCTTTCAAGAGCCTATCTCGGAACAGGGCATTGGAGCGCGTCGGCTGGTCCCTGCAGGAGATCGGAAGCCGATGCTGGATGGTCCGAATGCAGGACCACCGCAAGGACCAGGACCGCGGCTACCGGTGGTGGAAGATTGGCGCCGACAACTGGGGCATGCGCAAGATCCCGGTCGCGCGCGCCGAAGTCGGCGGTATGTATGGGTCCTTCATGTTTGGACGCAAGCTATGAATCATATGCGCATCGCGTCGTCGCATGGGGAATCGAAACGGAAAAATAGGGGAAAGGGAAAGGAATTGCATTTGAATGCATGGACCGAAGAATAAGCGACTAGCATCATCAGCATCTGATTCCCCACGCCTTGGCCTTGCTTTTTGTTTTTCTGTTTTTGTTTTTCTTCTTCTTTTTTTTTTTTTTTTTTTTTTTTCATCATTCATCGGGAGGAGTTGGGATACCAAAACCAAAAAAGCACATTTGTTTTTTTCTCGGATCATACGGAGTGGGAATTTGTAGCCACCGGTCGGTCAACCATACTTGGTGTTGTGGCAGGCCGGAAGATGGAAAAAGGAGCGGTATTCAACGGCCTCTGACAGCAAAGAAAGAAAGAAAGCAACATCAGCGATGAATGACTTGGCTTTGATGTACGTTACTGGAACAAATGGCATAATCTCTAATCCTTATGTTAGACTATTGTGTCTCTCCAACCCTGTGGTGATTCTTGGTACTGCCGACCTGGCTCTCCACCATCGTCACCATGGTTGTCGCAAACAACTGGCAGCTCCAATCCAGCAGTTCAGGCTTCCATTGAGAAGCTTTCGACGTACCTGCAGTGGCTACATCATCGTGCCGTCACACCGAGCCGCGAAGGTCAGCATACCCCTGCCCCGGAATGCGCTCCTGACTTCAGTCGCCTGGAAAATCTCACCTTACGTAAGTCGGATCGGCTCTTGGCAGAAAGTCAACTCATCTTTTCTCTCGTATCGTGGCCACGGTGTAGCCTTACGCGCTGACCTAGTCCCCATCCTCGACCTGACTGCCAACATCCCAAAAGAAAAAAAAAAAAAAAAAGGGCCATTTGTCTCGAGCTCCAAGTACGGCAGGATATCACATCCTTCTCTTTTTCTCTGTTCTTTGTCGAGAAGCTGACCGAGCTCTTTTCTAGGAGGAATTACCCAAAAGCGCTTGCTTGACAGCAAGTCGCCGCCGTCGTTAGCCCGTCATGGCATTTGGCTGGTCAGAGTATGTAGCCACATGTCCCTCCACCCACGTACCCCATACCCCAACCTACATCATCACCGAAATCCCAACATCACCACCACGTCCGTTAATTTGGCGAAAACTAACCACACAACTCCCACCACTATAGAGCTCGCTCTCTCCTCCTCGTCTTTGGTCCCATCCTCCTCCCCAAGGCCATCGCAGCCTACAAATCAATCCGCAATGCCTCCCAACACAGCGGCGAACCGATCCCCCCTCCGCCCCGCATAACCCGCGCCCTCGCCATCCTGACGGCCATCGTCCTCGTCTACCTCGTCAAGACCCTCCCGCTCTTTGCACCCGAAAACCTCTTCACACTCACTCAGTCACGCCTCCAGATCCCCGTCGACGTCCTCTTCAACCGCCTCTCCTCCCTACGTTCGGAATCCGCCCTTACGGCCGCCGACGAGCGCCTCCGCGCCCGCTTCGTCAACCTCGAGTCCCGCCTCCTATACCTCCAGCTCGGCCCCGCCGCCCTCGCAGACTGCCCCTTTTGCAAATCCGAGGACCCCAAATCCTACTTTTACTACGCGCTCCCCGCCATCGTCCTCCCGCACCTTGTCAACCTCATCGCCCTCGCCGCCGTCACATCTTCCACCTTCACCGGCCGCGACGGTGCCCGCTGGCGCTCCCACGCCACCATGGCCGCCGCCGCCCTCGCCGCAGCAGACGCTGTCCTCGTGGGGCAGTACGATTACTCCGCCAACGCCGCCGCCCTCCGCCTTCAGGACATGGACTTCTTCTACTGGAAGGCCCGCGCGCTACGGTACGTCGCCCTGGCCCTCCTCGACGTCGGAGTCGGCACCCTCCTCTTCCTCTCCGGCACCCGGCGGGCTTTTGTCCTCCCGCCCTCGGAGGCCGAGCGCATCGAGGCGAGCAACCGCGCCCTGACAACGGTCAAGAGCAAGCTGAGTGCGCTGGGGATTGTCAAGAACACGACCTTACGCGACGAGGAACTGCGCGCGCGGAGTCAGGCGTACTGGCTGCGCGAGGGCCAGATGGTGCGCGAGGCTATGGAGGAGAGGGAGGTTGTCGAAAGCGTCAACGACGCGCTGGAGAACAGGATCAACATACAGCAGGTCACGAGCGACGCCGAGACGTACACCGAGGGCGTGTTTAGACAACCGGAAGGACCAGCGCAATGAGCGGCGGTAGGTCCTATGCGGTCAAAGTTTAGAGTTGATGTAGCATGTGCATAGACAGCCACCGCATCTTGGAAAGAGAAGAAGAACGAGTACACAACTGCTTTCACTCAGGAATATGTGACCAAGCTTTGCGCGAGCTTGAAGAGAAACAATGTTGGTCTTTAATACGCCTCATGGGCTGGTAATCCGTCACAAGTATTTCCATGAAGCCTGTCTCCCAAGAGTCCCCCTAAACCCTACCGTACCCTATCCTTGGCCCTGACGGCATCCACCATCTTTTCTGATGTACTAACCCAAGAACCTCCCTAACCTCAATGCCTCTTGATTTGCACGTCAACCAATTGAATGCTTCAGGCATGCTCAGTTGTCTCTTTGTCTCTCTCCCAGGCTCTCCCCTTGAAATACCTGGTGACCGTTTCTGTGCAAAGAAGTCTTTCTCCCCCTCTCTCTCAGATCAACACCGGTGGTTCTTTCTTATATGACATGTTTTTCTTGTGTTTGGCAGTGTAGTGAATCCACCCACGCAGCCCACCCACGCAGGTGTCTAACTCATAAGAGGTAGCCAATGATAAAGGTCTTCAACCCCCCCTGAACTCCCCTTTGTCATGTCGGGCGAGAATGAATTCATCAGATTGCCGTCTCTACGCCTCATAACAACGTCTCACGCGGTCCACGACGACCTCCACTAGCTGCCGCCCCTTCCCGTCGCCGCGCTACTACCGCTGTCCTTGCGATCGCGCTGGGCCACCGCCGAGCCCTGGTCCAGACCCTCCTCGGCGCTGCGCTCAAGGAAGCCCGCCCACAGGTCCGCAAGCGACTCCTTATTCGCTGAGGTGGGCGTCTCGGAAAAGAACTCGGCGCTCAGCGACGGGGTGCTGGGCGTGCGGTGGAACGGGGAGGCTGGTAGGCGCAGGATGTTGGAAGAAGTGCCCGGCCTGGCAAGGCCTGCCTGCTCTCGCTGCTCGTCTGTCCAATTGAGGTAGCCGGCCATGACTTGCAGGATCTGGAAGCGCTTGGGGTCGGAGCGGTCCAAGGTGAGGAAGTGGAGGAGGTGATTCGTCACGACTTGTCTAGGCATGGTGTTAGCTTGTCTGTGATTTTTGGGTGTATAGACAGGAGAAGAAGAAGAATACCTGTCAACGTTATCCTCTGGTTTCGTCTTCTTCAGGTAACGAAGTGCTTTGGTGAGATGGTCGTTGAGCACGATAGCCTCATGCCGCAGCTTGCCAATCAAGAGGTTCTTCTCCTTGACTTCCTTTTCGAATGGCGCTGTGCGCTCGAGCTCCGCGGTGAGGGTTTCCTTGGCCGACTCTGCTTCGGTAGCCCTGGTATCTGCCTCTTGAACAAGCTTCTTCATGGCCTGCAGCTGCTCCTCTGACGTCTCGACCATCTCCCGCAGCTCCCTCTTCCGCGCATCCTGGATCTCGCGCAGGGCCTTTTGCAGATTATCGATGACCTGGGACTGCTGATCTCGTTCGGACGCGGCGCTCTCATAGCCGTCCCGGAGATTAGCAATCTGCTCCTCCAACTCCGTCACCTTCTCGACCAGGCTCTCCTTGACGGATCGCTCCTCCATGGCGATGACCTCCCACTCGCCCATGGCGTTCGTCGTTGTCTCAACTTCCTCCTTGAGGTTGGCCACCAGCCTCATAAGCTCCTCGCGCTCCTTGACCCAGTTCTGCTGGGACAGGTTGCTGCGGCTGCGCAGGCTCGTCGCCTCGCGCGATGTATCCTGCAATTCTTCCCGGAGCTTCGCCACTTCTTCCTCGGACGCCTTGGCGCCATTCTGCAGCTCTTCGTTCTGAGACTCGAGCTCCTCGATACGCTCCTTGGCCTCTTCCAGCTCAGCGCGGTCGCGCTTGAGTCTTTCGCCGAGCGTCGACTTTAGGTGGTTGACTCTCTCGAGGAGACCCTGGTAGCTCTCTTCTGCCTGTTCTTTGGCCGACGAAGTCTCCTCCAGTTCTGACTTGAGCTGGGTGACGGTCTCATTGTGTGTTCCCTGAATTGTCTCCAGTTGCTTCCTCAATTGTTCAACCTCTGAGCGTAGCGCCTCTCGTTCCTTTGTGAGAGCGTCCAGCTTTGCCGTTGCGTCGGGGCTGGTTCCCTGCTCCTCTACGGCCGCCTCTATCGGGGGGTTCGCGTGCCCGTTGCTCGTCGGCCTTTCCGTGTGGCCATTGGCTGTCGTATCCTTATCCGTCGGTTGTTCGGGGCTGGAATCTTCTATGGGTGCGAGAGCCTACAACAGCTGTCAGACAACTGAGCAACACAATCGCAGGTGTGGGCGGGGGGATCAAGGGAGTATCACCTGCACCGGGGTCTCCGGTTCATCATCGCCCTCCTCAGCATTATCCGGCGGAGGAGGCGCGTGGTCCGTCTCTATAGGATCCTTGGGCTTGTTGGCATTCTTCTTCTTCTTGCCGCTCTTCTTCTTCCCTGCAAGGTGCGTCCGTCCTCGTTAGCCTAGCCGCGCATCATGTACACACGGGAAGGATTCAATCGGGGGCGAACCTGAAGATGCGTTTTGTACCGGATCATTGGAGGGAGCGGCGGCCGACATGTTGGATTCTCAGATGCATCGGGAGGTACCGATAGCCCTTTGAGCTGGTGGGCGCGGACAGGAAGCTCTTTTGTTTTACTCGAGGTCCGTTGGTAGATGGGATGTCAACAGTTTGCACCTGGCGGGTTTGCATGTACTTACACCACGTAAGCTAGGTTCGCAAATTAGCGAGCGTGTTCACTTCCCACGCGGAACCTAGGGTGCTGCTCCCCCGTCCCCCACACTAGGTGGTCATGGAGTTCCACAATTAGGTACCGATAGCGAGGTGTATTAGCTAAGGGCCGGTGGACATTGCGCTTAACCGTTGGGAACCGCCGAACCGGTGGAGGTGGAGGTTGACATGTTCTTAGGAGCTGCGATGCTTGCCCTAGAAAATCTAGATGTCGCCATTGACATATCGAATCTTTTATTTCCATTTCTTCCTCCGCGAAATCGTAGATGGAAGAGGAGTACACAGTTTGCGACGATTACCTTTCACTGTGCTTGATGCTGTGTGCACAGGATCGTTACATGAAACGGCGGCTTTAGCAGCTGGTCAACTGATTTACACGAGCCACACTTTAGAGAATTGGCCGTTTGGGTGACTCGACCTGGTCTCAGGCGAACAGACACAGCCAATAGCTTTAAAATGTTGAAAATTGAGGTAAAGATTCATTCGGTACATAAGGTAGTCTTGGTCATGAAGCTGGAATAGCTCGTCCGTATATACAAGTTGCGCCTAGGATCGACCGACTGGCGTATACCCATCCAATGCAGATGGGGAGTACTATGCTTAGTCATCTTTATCTTATCGGCCAAAGCCTTCAAGAAGCGTCTCCGTTTGTTGGAAATTTTCCTCTTTTCCTTTCCTTCTTCACATATTTTACCCTTCGCTGAAATATCACTAGAGCAAGCGCAAATACCATTGACTTGTTCATTTTTGACGCTGAAGTAGAGTGATTAAACGCCTTTTATAATCCCGGTGCTTGCCCCAGCTTCCAGGTTGAAATGGGTGCGACGGGTTCGCTATGTGCGTACATGCTAACCCTTGAATTATGCCCATTGTGTTTCGATGCGGAGACTCCCGAGCGACAAAAACACAATGGAATACCCGATGCAAAAACAAGACTTTTTGGTGAAACAAGAGACAGAGAGAGGGGAACAATTCCGTCGTAACGATGGATATCATTAAAAGAGCCTTTTAACCCCTGGACTTTCTCCTCTTGCCACCCTTGGCCGCCTTGCCCTTGGCCGACTTGGGTGTCTCGACCTCCACGACCTTTTCCTCCTCCTTGGCCTCCTCCTCTGCCTTCTTCTCCTCGACCGGCGCAGCCTCGATAGCCTTGGGCTCCTCGGGTGCGTCCACAGCCATGGGCTCAGGCGGCGGGGCAACGGCCTCCTTCAGCTTGGGGGCCTCGTAGTCGTAGCCAATCGCCTTGAGTTTCTCGGCGCGGTCCAGCCTCTTCTTCTCCTCCTTGGACACCTTGTGCGTCCAGCCCGACTCGGTCCTCGGCTTGGCCACCTCGTTAGCGGCGATCTTGTGCCAGGGAATCTTCTTGAAGCGCTTGTTGGCGCCCTTCCAGACGTCCTCGTGCAGCTGGTCCCGGGGGACCGTCTTGACCTTGAGAATGTGGCCAAAGAGCAGGTAGCTGTCCATGGTCTTGGCCACGATCTCGGCCGTGCTGGCCTCGGCGAACTCGAGAAAGGCGTAGTGCTTGCTGGCGCCCGACTTTTTGTTGCGCGCCAGCCTCAGGCGAGTGATGGTGCCGAACTGTGAAAAGTAGCCCTTGAGCTCGTGCTCGTAGAAGCCGTGCGGCAGCCTCGAGATGAAGACCACGCCGGGCTCCTCCTTCTTGCCGTTCGTCGACTGCTTCTGCTTTTTGGCAAACTTTGGCACCTTGCCCACGTCCTGACCCTCCTTGAAGACCGTTCCGTCGCCGGCCGGCGCATCCTCGGGGTCGAGGCCGGCGGCGAGAGCCGCAATGTCGGCGTCGACCTCGTCGGCGTCGACCTCGTCGTCGTCCTCTCCCTCGAGAGCTACGACAGAAGCCTCGGCATCCTCGGTGACTTCGGGTTCGGCCTCCTCTTCGACGGGCTCGGGGGCGGGGGCGGGCTTCTTCGACTTCGACTTTGCGTCTGCCTTTGCGGGCTTCTGCTTCTTCGCCGCGACGGGAGAAGCTTGCGCCTCCTCGGGAGCTGTTCAAAACAGGTTAGTTAGTCAATGCAATATCGCAGCATCCCATTGGAACATACCTTTGCGCTTGGGGGCCTTCTCGACCTTCTCCTCCTTGGTAACCTTCTTGGTAACCTTCTTGGTCACCTTCTTAGGCGCCTTCTCAGTCGCAGGCTCGACCTTCTCGACCTTCTCGACCTTGGCGGTCTTCTTCGCCGCAGGCTCCTTGCCCGTGACGGCTATTGCAATCATTAGATACTAGAATTAAATTATTGCGTAGCTTGTTAACTTACATCTGGTTCTTTTTCTCAATTCGGGGGCCATTTTTGCTCATGTGTTGAGGAGCAGTTGTCAGTCGGTCCCTAGAAACCCAACCCGTACCCACATGAACGAGTACAGTCGCAAAGGCAAAAGTAATAAAAATTTCCTAGATTCTGCCGCTCCATTGCGGGGGCGGTGAGACACTGCAGCCCGGTCAACTGCGTGGCCCCAGCCGCCCAAGAACAACTTTTTAATGGGGCATTTGGTGCTGGATGTGCGCCATCCTTGAGCAGCGTTGCAGTGCTGCGCTGCGCTAGCCTTTATTGTTAACCAGCTGCCTTCAGTTCCCTGAGAAGTCCAAAGACGGGAACTCACTCAGTCGGCTTCATCAGCTGCTGCCTCACAGCAACGACGCCTCAGGCTGTAATTCTTATATTAACAAACGGCGCTCTCATGTTCTCGTCTTCCAAACAGCATATTTGTGTCTTGGTGACTCCCCAAAGATATCAATTGTCCGATTAAGGTATTCACCACCGCCGATATTGATAAGGAACACTGCAAACCACGACGCATTCAAAAGTTTCCTCCCTAGCCGCATGACCAGAACGCACCACAGAACTCCCAGGACTCAATACATCTCACCGAACCTTCCATCAGAACACATAATTACCAGAAGGACTTCTACTAATCTACGCACTGATTGAGGAGCAAGAACTTCCTCAATCCATATTCCTTTACTCGCTCGAAATCATCAATACGTAACGCCATCCTCACCTCTGAAGCCCACACACCAGCAGGTATCTACAGAGAGGTAACAGTCACACACTGCCCTAACCGGCGCCCATTCTCATCAAACACGTGCCAATCCTCATAAAGGGGGCTCCCTCCATCACAGTAACATGGCCGGCAACGATGTGGAAATGACCCACAATGAGATGTGGGATGACTCCGCGCTCATAGAGTCATGGAACGAGGCTCTAGACGAGTACAAGGTAAGCGGCGGCATTTTCTGTATTTTGTGGGAGAGGATGAAGGAATACAATGCTCGTAGAGCCGACTAGAAACTAACCAACATGGCAGAAGTATCACAGCATCCACGCAAAGGGAGGCAAGCTCAAAGACCTTGATCTTCAGGAGAAGACGGAGGACAAGCCCCAGTATGGCTAAGCCCTCATTCTTCAAACACCTCAAGAACCATCTCTGACACATTAATGATCTTCGCAGGACCATCGACGACACGCAAACGCAGGTGGTCGATCAGCCAGAGATCACGGATAATGGCGCAGAGGGAGCCGACAAAACAAAGGGGGTGATGGTGGGCGACAGCAGCACGGATGTAAATCACCCCAATGATGAGCCCACCCCAGAGGAAAATCCAGACAGATCAAAAAAGCTTGGCTTTTCTTCTTTTTCCTCGCTCGTCATGCGATTTTCCGTCTTGATTGCTTCCGCTAACGTCTTCCTTGTTTGCCCCCGATCTAGGTCCGGGTCCAGGCAGATTCAACAGGCGTGCCTATCGCAGCAAAGGCTAATGACCCCCAAGGGCCTGCGATAATGGGCCCGCAGAGTCTTCTCGGATCAGGTATGTAAACGATCCTGGGATATCCAAAGTCGTGGCAGCACTTGCACAGTAGCCTTCTTCTACCAGAAAACTGGACGTGGACACCGAAACTGACCGATGACCCCATTCTGCGGGTTTGCAGTGCAAGATGAAGGCTTGAAGAGACTTTTGATGTCGTGGTACTATGCCGGTTACTATACGGGATTGTATGAAGGACAGCAGCAGCAACAGCAACAGCAACAGTAGGGACTTTGGAGACATCAAAGTAGATGCCGCGAGCGAGAGAGCCGCGGCAAGTTGCAACCACAGGCTGAGCGGACCCCTTGGGCCTGGGACACACAAAGGCAAGGTTGTGTGGGGAATGGGGTGAGGCTGGCCGTCCTGAAAAGCGGCTACAAGAGAGTTTATCTGATCGACGTGCGGGAGGGCGACTTCTGTAACACGATCTGTTCCATCATCCGATGATGCAACGGCGCCACACCGTTCCTTGTCTGAGGTTCGCCGTGGCATGTGTCACACGAACGACGGGAGCAGCAACCTCTCAGTCAGCAGCCTCTTGATTCAGCGCTCTCTTCCGTTGTCACCTTGGTCACTTGGGACGGGGGAATTTATGATGCGGTCCGAGTCGGGTTCGGGCGAACTGGACCTGGCGGACCCAACATAATCCTCGTGGCTGCAACTGTGCAGCATGATTGAGAAAAAGAAAAGAAAATTACTAGCTCGCTTTCGTCGGCTCCCAAAAGTTCGTTTTGTTTCACTGTGGAAGGGTCTAGGCTTGGTCTTTTCTCCCCTTTCGCACCGAAGGAAAAGCCCAAGCAGGATGCGAGTCGGGACTCTTCTCTCGTCATCGCGCAGACGAAAACTGAGCAGGTAACGACGCAATACGCAACGAGCAGACCGAACCCTTAACAGAGAGTCCTGGCAAGGCCGCCGCGCCGCGGGCGGGTATACAAGAGATGACACCACGTAGTGCAGGCCGGCCAAGAGGGTTTGGGATATGATGAAGGCGGGAAGCGTTAGTTGAGATGACTCTCTGTAGGGTCGTGATTGGAAACAAGTCAAGAGGTATTGGATGGAAACATGGGGATGTAGTGTTCCACCGATCCGCGGCCTGGATACCTCAAGGCCCATCCGGGCATGTTCAGCGTGGACTTGCGTACTACCCTAGATCGATTTCTGGTGGATGTGTTTCCATATCGGTGATGCACCGTTCGATAAACTACATGACCGTGATATATCAGTTACTCATCTCAGATAGGCCGTTTTCTGGGCCGCTCTATCCAGAAGGTTTGCACACTGAGCATGGAGATCCTCCGGTCCGGAGTCATGTTGTAGAGGACGGACGTCCATCCCAAAGTGAAGTATGCAGTGGATAACACGGCCCGGGTATGACGGATGGGATTACGTTGGGCTTGACAGGAGGCCGATGCCCTCTTTCGGCCCATGCCCGAGCAAGCTGTCGTGCGCTGTCGATATCAGGCTGACCGAGCCACCGAGCACGGACTGGCCGAGATGGATCTTGACCTAACAAGTGTCGACGGAAGGAAGGCTGCGCTAGGGGAAGCGTTGGGCACAGCCAGTCTCCGTAGGCCTCGAACCAAGAAATGACGGGATGATGGTGTGATGGCGGTGCTGGAAAGAGAATAAGCCGATGTCTAACGCCGTTGAAAGACCTGTGCCAAGACAAGGCTGGTGGCTCCACTACAGGGCTATAAGAGCAGGTAGTGTAGGAGCGGTCGGTAAGGATAATTACTGATGCTTGCTGAACAAGAGCAGGGCACATGGATGTATTTGTGGTTGTCTAGGAAGTTGGGATCGGGGATGGGACGGAGGTGTGTGACGGCTGAAGATGGCGGGTGAGATGGGCAAAGTTGAGCGGAGGACTGGATGACGGTGAGATTGGATTGGGGCGCGTCTCTGAATGTGTTTGTGTGTGTGGGTTGTCTTGCAACAGAGAACTCTTGGACAGGTCTTGATGTGTGGGCCGGAATGAGAGTTGCCCGTGACCAGAAGACTTCAGAAAGAACGACACCGACACACTAAAAAGAGGGTAGGTTCCACATAGGAGGGAGGAAGGGGTGAACGGGGAGGGGGGGGGGGGCTTGTTGTTTCAAAGTCTTCATTGGCTGTTTGAGCAGCTGCACGCCCGGCATCAAGGTGCTTGGTGACGCAGGCTCGCCGCACGCCTGGTTATCTTGATGCCTCGCTATCCGTGCCGACTCATGCCGGGTTTGCGGGTAGATTGGGGAGTAGACTGCTTGGTGAGGCAAAAAAGCCGAAAACCGAGATGGTGCGGGATGGTGGTGTTGCAACTTGCGCAGCAATACGGATACAGCCTAATACGGAGAGACGCGAGGAAGCCGGGGGGGGAGCGAATGGGGACGTACATGTATGTACCTTGGCACGTGTGAAGCTGATGGGACCTGCCTGGCCTAGTTACCGGTATTCGACGTGCCCAAGTATGTAAGCCAAGTTCGGTCCAGTTGCAGCAAGTCTCTTGGAAGAAGTTGAGGAACTCTTCACCCACGATACACGTGAAAAGACGAGAGGAAAGATACGTATTTTGAGGTGCCAGCGCTAAAATAGAAAAAATAAAACAATATTTGTGCCTGACCACTGGAAGGGGTGGAGGGTTAGAATCTAAGGTTGAACGGTAGAGTTGTATTGTGTCTCGGTACCTGCAGGAACGGTGCGGCGCCAGAAGACGAACTCGGGATGCAGAAAGCCTCAAGAGGAAGGAAAGCTGGAAAACGGGGTAGGAGAGTGGGTGGGAAGAGTCGAAAAAGTGGAGACCCCATGCCATGGGCCGTGGCTCCGAGCCTCCGGCAGCTAAAATGTCTTGTCAGGGGGTGGATTTGACAGTCCAGCTACCTTAATTGGCCGCATTAAGGTTTAGTGCCCCCCCGAGACAGCGGGAGGGTTAATTTGCGCGATGAAGAACCTCGGGGGAAGGAAGAGACAAGCGTTGGGTCGGGCGATTCTGGCATTTCGGGAGAGGGTCTTGCTGAGATCGATTGATTTCTCTCTCTATCTTATCTATTTGTGTGACGTAAGGTACCTCCAACGGTTTTTGTGTCTTGGCAAGGTCCAACTCGGACTACCGACATAGGTACTAACCAGCACGATACCTTGCATCGAAAGCCCTTTGGCGTTGTCCAAATGCCACGAACGTGCTGGTTCCACGCTATTCCCTCCGTCGAGAGGCCTCCCTTTTTCAGGAAATCTCCCGCACAATGCCGTAGCAATCCCAAGAGAAGAAAACTCTTTGGGTTCGACGTCGCCTAGGGTCCGAGCGAGTGCCGTGTTCGGAATAACGGCCAGGGGGTGTCACTTAGCGAGATGCCAAAACACGACTCGAGACGATTCTGTCACAACTCCTTCTCAACCGCACACTGCTCCTTCGCCGCGCTAAGGTAGCGCAACTGCGTGCCGTCTTAACCAAGCTGCCATGGCATCCACATCCGACTTTTCCATCCTTTCCCTTCCACGCCCTCCCAGTCCCTCGCCATGTCTTCCGCGTAGGTACCACCACTTTGTACGGATAGGCCATATTCACTTATTACTCACAGATCATTCCGGGGGGTCTCTGGCTGGCTCGCAGTCGCTCGCTTGTTCTGCTCATTGTCACTAGCAGCATGCCCCCCGGTCGAGAGACTTCACTCTGCTTTGCTAGCTGCGAGACAAGACAGGACAGCCCACCTCCCTGCTGATGGCACACCAAGCTTCTCACCTGTACGAAATACTACTGCGGCTCCGTTGGCAGCGTCATCGTCGTCTCTACTACCCCTGCTGCTGTCTCCCCGTTCCCGTTCGCGCGCTGGTGCCTCTCTCTCGTCTTTTCCTCTGTCGTCCCTCCTTATCCTCCCCGTCATCCATCCGTTCGCAGCACGCTCCCCTGCTTCCTGTTCCTCCCAACCCTGGCCCCTACTACCCCTACTACCACCACCACCCACTCTCCACCCACTCTCCACCCACCTCGTCTTGGCTTTTTTGTTCTTAATTTGCTCCAAGCTTGGGATGGCAATGCCGTCGTGGGTCTGTGCTTCGTGTGTTTAATCGGACGCTACATCCCCGAGCAACGAACCGCCCATTGACACCTTGTCTTGCAGACTTACACATACTAGACCCCTGCTCCGTGTCCATCCGCGTTGCCTCCCTGCTCCTCTTCCTTCTTTCCCCACCCCCTTCTGCAGCATCCTGCACAGTAAAGACCCCCGGATGCGTTGCTTGGCTGCGCTTGGCTTGCATGGCCGGGGTCCAAAGTGCTTGGTGCCCTTCCAACACTTTCCAAGGACGTGCTGGCGGAAGATTTTCTCATCCTGTTTCGTCGAGGTCGATGTTGCGGCCGGGAAGGGGCTATCCCACGCCACGCCATGCCATGCCCTGCCCTGCCATGCCCATAGACCGACCAGTGACACTACCTCTCCCTCAACTCGCAAAGTACCTTGGCCCATTACATGGGATAACGAACCGAGAATGCGACCTGGCCCGCGCTCCTCATGCCAGGCGAGCCTCGCCAGATTTAAGCTCTCCTCCTCCCCCCTCATCCTCGCCGCCAAAGAGGTTTCTAGTTCTTCTCCCCCATCTCTTCTTCATTCGCCTCGTGTCTTCACTCATTCCCTGTGTGACCTTCGTTCTCTTTTCGGTTCCGTGTTCACTCTTCTTCGTCACGAGCAGGCCCTCGCCATTAAAGCCATACAGCTACAGCTTAACCCTTTTATTACTGTCGACTTTCTAGCCGGGCTCTAGCAGTCTCGCCAACAGCAACCAAATCTTCACAGAGGAGAATTAAAGAAAACAAGGGGAGGCAACTACAGGCCGCAACATCCTCGACGTGCGAAAAGAAAAGGTCACTATAATCGACATCGACAACACACCACTTGAACCGACAAAATGAAGTTCTCCGCCGTGTTGGCTCTCTCCGCTGCCGTCATGGCCTCCGCCAAGTCGGTCCGCAACCACTACCCGGTCCGCCGAGATGGTCATAAGAAGGGAGAAAAGGGACAGGCTGCTGGACAAATCGCTGGGCTCCCCGCAGGCATGACCGGATTTGGCGTCTCCAACAGTCAAATTACCGAGGTAATCATCATTTGGGCGAACCCGGGTGCCGGAGCCCCTACGATTAACATCAACCCTCCCGCCGGTGGTGCCGCCGCTCCTCCTGCTGCCGCGCCTCCTGCCACACCTGCTGCTCCTCCCGCCGCGCCCCCGGCTGCTCCCCCTGCCGCTCAGACGACTCACAACGTAAGTTAATCATGTCGACTCTGGCACCATACCAAATCAGAATCACTAATACGCATCTGCAGGTCGTGGTTGGTGGCGCCGCTGGTCTTGTCTTCGTTCCCGATCAGATCAAGGCCAACGTCGGCGATATGGTTGTCTTCACCTTTATGAGCCAGAACCACACTGCTACCCAGTCCTCCTTCGCGAAGCCCTGCGACCCCTTGGCTGGCGGCATGAACTCCGGCTTCATGGCCAACCCCAACAACTCCGTCAACCCGCCTCCCCAGGTCGCCATGCAAGTCATGGTCTCTGAGCCTTTGTGTAAGTTTTGCACGCAACTCACACACACCCCGGTCTGTGCCACTGTACTAACACACGTCTCCAGGGTTCTACTGTGCCCAGGCCAACCACTGTGGAAAGGGCATGACCTTCTCCATCAATCCTACCGCCGCGAAGACTCAGGCTATGTTCCAGTCGATGGCCATCGCCCAGAAGGGCCACGGAGCCGGTGGCGCCATCACCGGAGGCACTCCCCCCGCGGCTGCTCCCCCAGCTGCCCCCGCAGCCTCTGCTCCCGCCGCCGCTCCCCCTGCCGCCGCTCCTCCTGCTGCCAACCCCGCCGTCCCCGCTGCTGGGGGCGAGATTCAGCAAGGCACCGGACAGATCAACGGCAACGGTGCTTGCGTATGCTCTGTCACCTGCTCTGCAGGATCTTTCCCCGCGGTCGGAGCACAAGGTGTCGGCTCTTTCGGCGGCATGGCAGGCTCTCTTCCCATGGCAATGATGGAGGTCTGAAGAGGACGATACGGGTCCGATCACGTTCACGTGTGAACCTAATCCGTCTTCTTTAGTAGTCCATTTTATTTATGCTCCTGGGAAAAGAGAACCTGTTTTTTTGCCCACTCCGCTGGGAACGATACCACATATCCGGAGTTGTTACGATATACACCTTCAAGGGAACCCGTCTCATCACGACCTTACTCTTTTTTTTCTTTTATTCATCATGTAGATTTCTCTTTTGCTGGTTGTGGAGACATTGTAAAAGAAGAGCGAGATCTTCCGCGCACGTTAGTAGTGGATGATAGAAAAACTCTTTTTTTTTTTTGGTTCCGGCTTGGGTTGAGCCCGCTCCCCTTGCTTAGGGGAAGTAGGAATGGGGATGAGGGTTTAGGTGATAATTACAGATGTATGACTGGTTCGTATTTCCTGGATGGAAAAACACCATTTTTTTGTTCGCAACCGCCTAATAAGGAATCAATATATCGATGATGAAAGATCCACAGCCTCGGATTTCCTTTGATTCGTGTTCTGGGTTTTATTCGTCCTTCGAAAATGCTACTATTCGCCTACTGAATTCTCTAGCGATAAGTCAAGTAACCGCCTAAGCGCAGGATAAGAGATGGAGCCGGCCCTGAGAAAGTACCCGGAAGATACAACTCGGGGGTTTCTGATTCGGCTCACGACTCGTGAGGTCAACCCGGTTTGATCGACCGTCAGTGTGCCGGATAAGCGCCGATAAGAGGCAGTGATGAAAGTCGATCAAGGAGGCGGCTTGCCGTGTGTCTATTCCCATCTTCCCAGGCGTGCGTGTCATGCCGTGTCACGTCACGTCAACTCGAGTCGAGGCTCACCCTTCTGGACACTGCATATGCAATCTACGGGGAAGTTTTTGCCGGCAGGGACAGAGGCCCGTTATTTGGAAGTGCATCTGTCGTTGCCTATATGTAAGGCTTTGACGGTTTGAGGAGAGGGAGATGTCAAAATGTTGAGATGATGTGTGATGGACGGACGGCGGACTGTTTGGCTTTGAAGTGGCTTTGAAGCTTCGGCTTCATCGCTTGAGGGCGGGTTGTATGTATGGGAAATGCTAAGATTGTGTCAGTCGACCAGAGACGGAGACTGGAAAATAGCGATTCTAGTTTCCTTGCGACCGATCTCCGTGGACTGACGGACCCCTGTGGCAGACAGGATTCATCTTCTTCAAAATGAAAGGAGAAAAGGCGTGGGGGAGGGGGGGTCGCCCGATGATGGACCGACCTCCTTTCCTTGAGGCCATACTTTCCGAGGCGTAGCCATGGCTTTACTTGTATGGACATGAGTTGACAACTTGCACTTCAAGGCCCGAGAAGTAAGCAAGATCATCTTAGCCCCGATGGCCTTGCTCAGTATTTTAATGATTGCAAGCAGCCAGAATTTATTCATCTGATATTCCGCCCCTCTATGCCACCAATGCAACCTCCATCGCTTGAGTTGTAACTAAAGTTAAGAAAAAACACCCCTGTTTATGATTTCCGTTTCGCCGTCATTTATAAGTTTACTCCCTGCTGCGGTCCAAAAAGGGTCGAGGTTGGAGGTTCCCTACCCTCTGCTCTCTGCTGACTCATCTCATCTCATCTCATCTAAGACACATCGCCTACTACTACGTTGAAGCGTAGAACAAGACAAGACGTGGTAGACGGACGACTTGTCGAGGCAGAGGAAGAGAGAACGAGGGAGCTTCCATCCCAAAGCAGCCCCCTTCCCCCCGCCCGTCTATTTCTTCTTCGACCCTCCCGCTCCTTCCGCTGCCTTCTTGGCCTCAGCTACAGACGGATCGTCAGCGTGCCACGTTCAAATCATATCCATTCATTTTCCAGCCCTCGGCCGTTCTCAGGGCCGCCTTCTGCCAATCTCATTCCCGCGCAGCCCTCGGGATCGATGATGAACGACCCGGAGTTCGATTCCCGGCTACGCAGCGCGCGGCCTCAACGACACATGAAAAGGGGCGACCCAGCCGGTCACAAGTGACGTTGAGCTCTTCCCCTCCTCCTCCTCTCTCTCTCCCGCGGTTTCCCTCACTCAAAATCGAAAGGCGGCCGTGAAAGAGGGCGACTAGATGGTGAAATTGAGGGTGACTCACCGGCAGCCTGCTTCTGCCGCATAATCTCAGCGGCAGACTCCTTTGCGCGCTGCATCTCGGTACCGCTCATGGTGTTTCCCTTTTTCTGAACAAGAAAAAAGAAGTCAGTATTTTGCTTGTTCAATCCCAAATCGGATCAAAAAAGGTCCAGAGGGACATATCAAATGCTCTGCGTGCAAAGGTCCCTGTCTCTCGCGCTTGCAGACACCCGCCAAAACAAGCCCCCCCCCCCACCCCCCCTTTTTTTTTAATGAGCGAACTCAAGCCTCATGAGCGGCCCCTTCTGGTGCATGTTCACTCCGCACTTTCAAGACCATCCGTACGCGGCGGAGAAATGCGATTCAAACGTTGCGAGGTGAATATATGGCGATCCCACCAGGAGCAAGTAAGCTGAGAGTGGGTGGGAGTGGCCGCTGTGAAAACAACGGGAAAATCTCACCTGAGATGCGGCCTTCTTCTGGGCAGCCTCACGGGCCTTGTCGCGCTGGTTGCCACGGGTCATTTTTCAGGTGTCGGTGGGATGTACTTGGTGTTGATCGGAAGCAGGGACCAAAAAGTCGAGGTGCGAGCTCGGGAGACGATTGCGATAATCGCAGGCGTGGAGGTTTCCGCAATTACGTTGGTGTGAGGTTGGGTTGTCAGACGAGGGAGAGAAAAAGTAAAAGAGGACCCACGCTGGTGAGAAAGGAGGCTGAGAGAGTGGAAGGTTTATAGAAAAATTGCGCGCCCGCCTGCCAGCCGGCGACCGCGACCGCGAGGTTTGCGGCTTGCCCCCAGCTCGCTCACTCACTCTATGAACAACCTTACCTTAGGTACCTTAGGTAGGTAGGTGGGCCAGGTGTTCGGCAACAGCGTGCCCTGGAGAAGGAGTGGACACGACCAATCAGAGGCTGTCGTTTCAACTCTCGGTCGCTTCACATGCTCCATCCGATCGCTGGCCTCCCCGAGTCCCTCTTCCATTGTCGCACATCGCGCCTCTGATGCTGCCCAACCAGTGGCCGCAGCGTCCCATTCAACGGAGCATTCACTTCAAGGTGTGATCCAATTTTAGCAACACCAATTTTTGGCGGTGAATCTGTAGCACACATCACGAGGCGCCGGGAGACTCTGTACAACCCTGAGTCAAGATAATTGTCTTGAATTATCTGCCTAGTTACATGCGCGCGGTCGTAGGGTGGGTGTCGTGGGCATTTGCTGAAAAGCGTAAGCAGATCGAGCCAAATCCTCACGAAACGCATCTTATCCTCCGCCGGCCAGAAAAAGCAAAAAGCAACGCCGAATTTTCATCCCTAGAGTTCTCTCTTACACGCACAAGAAACCGTTCTCCAATCTGCAGAAGGTCAAATCGAATCTGTTCCAGAAACCCCCAAAATGTGAGAGCCCATGGCCCCTGAATGAATACCCCCGTCTTGTCCATATTGTATCCTCCCATTCGGATAAGCAATGGAAGGATGTGTGGGTGTCATGCTAGGCGGTCCATGTCGGAAGTGCAAAATGATGTGCCTACCGCATGCGAGAAAACAGAAACGAAAGAAGAAGAAGAAACTGCCTCCGATGCTGTCGTGTCCCACTGTTGGCCCCTATGCAATGCGTGCGCAATCAGGCATCTCCTGTATAATCTTGTTGGACCGCTTCTCTGGTAACAGAAACGCTCGTATGTAGGTTCGCAACGCTAAGGAGGCTCATAGTACACCTAAAAGCCATTGCTCGTAAGGGAAGAAATTGAAGTCTTCCTGAAATCGTCGCGCGTCTCATGATCAGCTTCGTGACTGGCATTTCGTTGAAGGAATCAAGCCCATGATGTTGTTGCCGTGAGTATGATCCAATCATGATCCCAGTGACCTGTTGATTCCCCTGGCAAACGAGCGTCGAGAATGGAAAGAAGGAATGGAAAGTAGATAACCGCGGTGAAAAACAAAAGAAACGCGAAGGTAAAGGAAAGCGTTCGTCTATGTCGATGTTCGCATCGAATCAAGTACAAGCCTATTGAAGGCTCCGTCCGATCTGGTGACGGCTGCCGAGAAGCAGAATGCGATTCTTGTGTCTGCGCTGCAAATGCCGAAGGGGGGGTGGAAGGCACCGTTGCGCTGCCTGAATCCATAGTGTACACACAAAGCAGGCCTTGCAACCAGATGCAAGGACCGCCGTGCCCGACGGATGAAGAGGTTGGGTGAATTGCGATGTTGTTTGTTGGTCGGAAGATGATTTGTGGTGATTGCACAGACAGGGGAAAGGAAAAAGATCGTCAAGTCGTTGCTGCGTAGCCGCCGTGCTGTGTCGAAAGAAAACCGTTACGCGGAAAGCATCATGCCACCATTATGTTCGTTGTCGAAGCCCGGACCACATTCCGTACCATTAGAAATGAATCTGTATGGGCTGAAATGGTCGACAACGTGCCGAATACAATTACAGCCACTGGGACTCGCCGGTAACAGCGTCAGCAGGGGCGCCACCGTTGGTGCGCTGCTGGCCATTGAAGCCGAACTGCTGGACGCGCTGGTTCTGGGGAGCGGGGGGTGGAACAGTGACGCTGTTGGCCGTGGGATAGTTGGCCTGGTTGCCGCGTGGAGCCATGCCACCGCCGTTGAGACCGCCATTCAGACCGTTGCCAAAGGCACCGCCAGGGGCAATGATGGAGGTATTGTTAGACATGGCGCGGTTGTGGCCTGGGCGCAGGGGAATCTGGCCCTGGCTGGGGTCCGCAGGAGTGACCTGACCGCTCGAGGTGGCACTGCCACGACCCTCAAAGGCCTGGATCTTGGCCTGAATGCGGCGACCATATGGGGTGGACCGAATGGAAGGCAAGATGGGGCGGATGGCGTCCACCAGGCGGTACTTGCTTGCAGGAGGCGCGTACTCGAGGGCGGTCTGAATGACGTAGTTGGCATACGAGTCGCGGAGGAGTCTCTCGATCTCGCCGGGGTTCAAAAGCTCATCGACAATCATTTCGCGAGAAGGCTCCTGGGAGCAGCGCAGGCACTTCTCGATGACGTTGGAGCTGAACTTGTGGCGGGACAGCTGGCCGATGCGGTTTTGGAACATGCGTACAATAGGCTCGGTGAAGGAAGGTTCGTTCAGGTCGATGATGTACTGTACGACGTAGTTGCCGAAGGGGTCCTGCACAAGGATTGGGGCATGCTCGGTGATCTTCGCAATCAACCAAACCTTTTGCTCTCCAGAAGCGTGGTCAATGCAGCGCTGGAGAACGCAGCAACCATGGCGGTGAGTGCCAACGTCAACGCAGTTGGTGCCAACGGCGTCGAAGATGAACTGCGCATCCTGAGCGCTGAGCTTGTTGAGACACTTCTGGATGACGTGGTTGCCGTTGAGGTCCTGGATGAGCTCAACAACCTGGTAGCGAAGAGCATTGATGATCATCTCAATCTGAGTCGGAGTCGTAACGAATTCAATCATCTTCTGAAGAGCGCGGGTGCCATGCTGGTTGAGCGCAATGCGGACCATGTCAACGGCGGCATTCTGAATGAGCACAGTACGCTCATCATCGTTGCAGTACTCCAGCAGCTTCTGGCATAGGTAGTTGCCAAAAGGATCAGTCATGAGCTCGATGACGTGCTGGTTAGTTTCAAGCCAGATCATGTGGACCTGCTCCGGGTTGCGCTCCTCGAGCTTCTTTTGCAGATAGCGGCAGCCGTGCTGGTCCTTGCAGAGGTCATAGATCTGGCCACCAACGTTCTCGAGGGCGAGGCCGTTGTAGCGCGACATGGCTAGAGAGATGTTAGTGCTGGGGACTCATCATGGGATTGATTCACTCGTTTACCTTCATTGTCCATCTGGCGGCGATGTTGAATGACACGAGCCTGGCTGTCACGGGGTTGAGGCTGAGGGTTGTACAGAGCACCATAACCGGCGTAGTTCTGAGCAGGGTACATGTTGGTGCCATTGAGGTTCATGTTCTGCATGCTCATAGCCAAGAGGGGGACGCCATAGGGACCAGAGGCGGGAGGAGGGCCATTGTTGGTGGGCGAGACGTAGCCGCTCGGGTAGAACCCGCCGTAGCCACTGTTCGGACCGGCAGTGGCGGTACCGTTGGGATTCTGGGTACCTTGGGAGGTGTGTGGGAAGCCCTGACCCTGGGCTCCAGGACCGAAAGGAGCCGCGCTGGCCTGAAGGGCGGACTGGATGGAGTGATAGGGACCAGCCTGCTCCCGAGGACCGCCCATGTTGTTGTCATTGGACAGCTCACGGCTGTGGCGACCGGGAACAGCGCCAGCAGGAATGCGACCGATGCTGGCGTTGTGGTTGTGGAAATGTTGCTGGGCGTGGTTGTTCGTGACAGGGCCGCCGTTAGTGGTGCTCTTGACGGTAGGCACGTCGTTGGCAGAGAAGGAGCTCTGCAACTTGGGAGGAGTAGCCATGATGTGGTTACCGGGGTGGTTGCCGGGAGGCGAGACAATAGATGCCTGGTTGTCGGAGGGAGCGTCCGGGAAGAACTTCAAGTCGAGCGAGTGGCGGACTGAAGAGCGCTTGCCGATTTCTCCAGAAGACGAAGCTCCGTTGAGCGAAGACGTGTTGATAGCAGACAAGCTCTGTTGGGTTCGATGACGGTTAATATTGCCCCAACCATTCGAGGACGGCGCGTCAGGGGCGGGCGAGGGGGAGAGGGCAAGGTCAAGGGCAGCGGAAGATGCAGAGAGCTATACGACGCAAACAATTGTCAACAGTTGAACGGAGGCTGACAAGTCGAAGGTTTGTGTCGACAGATATCCTGCAGAACTCTGACCTTGGTGGAAAGGTAGGAAGGAGCGGGCGGTAAACGGACAGGAAGTGAGTGGGTTGAGGAGTTTTTTCTTGTCTTTTTCGCTCGCTTTCACAAGCGAACCGCAAAGGAAACGAAAACAAGAGAGGAAAAGAGGCGGAAGCAAATTTTGACCAAGGTGCGCGGGGTGAATTGAGAGGTGAAGTTGAAGCAAGGTGCGGCTGCAGCCGGCGCGGTTGCGTGCGGCTCGCACCTTCCCGCCTGCGAGGTTCGGGACGTGGCACTTCACCAGCCATGGACAAAATAAACATGTGGGCTTTTTCTGCTGAGCTGGCAGAGAAACCATGGGCACCGGCTTGCTCATGCGTCGGATGAGAGGGTGAAATAGGTGTTGGACAGGAAAATGGAGGCATGATGTAAAGGTAAAAAGATAGATTGCGCAAACTTACCATTTGATCGTTTTGGCGAACCAGAGTCGGGAAGTTGTCGTCGCCATTGCCCTGGCCGTACTTATTGTCGCCAGAAGCGTCCTCCTCGCCAAAGAGGAAGCGAGCAGTGCCGGTCTGGTCGAGGTCGGCGCCGTAGAGACCAGTGCGAGAGCGCGTGACCGGCATCGAGTAGCGGTTGTAACTGCCGGGGGAAATTCCAGTGTTAGCCATCGCCCAGGTCGGTGGAGGTTTGCTTGCTGTGTTGTAAGTATGTTTGCTTTCTCTTCTTGGGCAAGTCTTAGGTTGTCGTTTGGTTGGTTTTGAGAAGAAACGAAACGACGGATGCTGGTAGGGAAAAAAAAAGAAGGCCTTATTATTGTTCGGTGGTGGAATTGAATCAAGCCGTGGAAGGCCGTGTAAACGTTCGTTTGAAAGAGGCTCTTGGGAGGCAAGTGCGGTTCGTGAGGATTGGAACAAAGGTATTGGAACGATGCCGAAGTGTGATATTGAGACGTGTGAACAAGTGCGTGATGTTCTGCGGTGTAACTCAAAGGCTAAGTTACTGTTGTTGGCGGAGAGATGCGTGAGAGTGCAGCGTTAAGTGTGTGTTTTGAGGTTGGTGTGGACTGGTCAAGGTCGAGGTCAAGGTCGAGGTCGAGGTCAAGGTTGAGAGGCAGGAGTGGCTGCTGCTCGATACGCCTTTTTGTTGACATGGGTTGAGAACCCAGAAAATCTCTTAAGCAATCCAAGGAAGGAGCCCATCTCGTTGCAGGACCTTCCCAAGGCAAAGCTCGTTTCTCAAAAATGCGCAGAGCCCTGCCATTCGTTTCTTTCGTTGAGGAACAATACCTTACCAGCTTGACCAAACAACTTTACCAACCTTTTGCTGTGTCTTGATACTCACCCGAGACTTGTCCAAAAAGCAAACATACTGGTCACACTGCATAGATCAGGGCACTTACGCATTGGAAGATCGGTGGCTAGTCGGATCTTGGCGGACAGCCTCCTCCTTCTCATCCTCATCACTGTTTCTGCGAGACCCAGGCACAGATCGGGACGGCAGGTGGTCGTCAAAGGTGAAGCGTGACTGCATCACCGTGGAGTGCGGCGAAGTGAGCTGCGAGCCCGAACGCCCAGGGCGGTTGAAGAGGCCAGGCGGCGAGGTCAAGCTCGAAGTCGAGTACCGATTAGGGCGCGAGAACATCGTGGGGAAGCCGGACGATTCGTGATATTCGGGGGGCGTCGTGGGCTCCGACTGGTGGCCCTGGCGAAGGTCGTCTTGCATTTTGGCGAGCTCCATCTCCTCGCGGCGCTGTGCCTGCTCCAGTTTCTGCATCTCCATTTCGAAACGACGCCTCTGCTCGCGCAGTCTCTCATATTCGATCTTTTTCTTCTCAATCTGGTCCCAGCAGTCAATACACACTCTTCGTCACTGTGGAGTTCGACATTGCAGAGTCGGCAGGCATCGATGATCCTCTCGCCATCAAGGTCCGACAGCGGGACGGTGGAAGCCCACATACCAATTGAACTTTGTGGAAAGTCTGGACAACACAATGTCAGTCGCATTCTTGCAGAAAAGAGCGCCATGGCAGAAGGAGTGCTGAGCGTGGAACGCATTCCAGCGTGGATAAGAAACGTACGTTGTTATAATCAGGGCCACCGAGATCAGGGCCGCGCTGGCCGGTAATTGAAGACAGAGTTGGTACACGCCCGGAATCCGTGGTGAAGCGACGGGGAAGGGCACCTCGCCCATCATGGGCCTGAACGGGCTGCGGGAGGCGGTTGCCGTTCCGCGGAGGTGAGACAAGTGTGTTCATCGTGGATTCGTTACGGGGCGACTGTTGAGATCGGAAGCGCAGCTCGTCCATAGTTCGGCTTAATTCAACAATTCGTACACGGCGCAAAGGGGCCGAAGGGCTGTGGGTTTCTATATACTATTGGCATCAACCAAGGCCGGCGGTCAGCGACAAGAACATGAAGGGGTGTTTGGTTTTGCAGAAAGCAGCGGCGGCAGCATCAAAGACTGCGGTCGGTCGGGTTGCGTGCGACGGCCATGGCGACAAGAAATAGCAGAACAGAGCGAGAGTTTCGTGACTTTAGAAACAAGGGAATTAAATTGGAGGCGGGGTGCGGAACTGGCGAAGTCGGGTGGTGCTGGTCCGGGGGTTCGCTCGCTCTTGGGTGTGGTCTTGGTCCTGGCCTTCTCCAAATGCGGGCGGCAGTGGGTGAAGCACTGAAGAGACAAGGAGAATGATCGCAGTGGAAGCATGGCAGCAGCTGAAGCTGGGTAGCGTGAGACTCAAATGTCTCGCCCTGCAACTCCTGTCTCTTCTTGGGCCTCCAGATCGCAAACCGAAACCGTCATTGCCGTTGTCGCTGCCTCTTCAGCTTCTACCGAGCACCCCTACCTCTTTTCCCCCTTTGCGTTCGGTCTGACATCCTGCGTTGCGATGTACTGCTTTTGGGTGTTGGGGAAGCCTTTGGGCGTGCGTTGTGATGTCCAACGGAGTTGACTCGCTGGTTTGGCGGCACAAGGACACCAGGGGCGGCCGAAAGTAAAGTTTCCTCCCCGCCTCTCTCTCTCTCTGTCTGTATATGTGTGTATGTGCGGTATGCGATGTGTTTCTTGCCGCCATGGCGCAGTTGCTCCTTCAATCGCGAAGCTCTACCACGCGTCGACGTGGGTGTGATACGGCGACCGAGCAAGGACAAAGAGAACAAAAGAACTGGAAACGTACCTGTTTATTCCCGTGGTGGTCTTCCCCAGTGCAGTACAGAGTATACACTCAGACAAAATCTCACACGTCGCGCCCCGGAGAGCCAGGAGCGACAGAATGGAGAGGTTTTTGGAATACACGGACACACGAGATGGTGTACAGAAAGAGAACTGGGTAGGAAACCGACGACCAACGTGGGGAGAAACGAAAAGAGCAGGTTCGGAGCATAAGAAGGTAATGTAGCGATTTTCAGGTGTGGGAGACAAGCACGGTTGAGAGGGCGTGGCAGGCCAGCCGGCGGCCCAAGATACCCCTGCGCCATCGACGGGGGAACCCAGTCTAACGGGTGCCACATCGAGAGAGGAACCGCAGAGAGGAACCACCGCATCTCACTCGCTAACCAGACCTGCCAGGGCGGCTTTGCAAGTCGGGGTGGTGGTTTAGTTTGGTACCCAAAGGACCCTGGCAAGATCACGAAGGATACTGCGTATTACTCCGCACCGTGGGTAGCTATCGTACGGAGACTCAAGTGACGAGAAAGGGCCCTCGTGAGTCGTCCCTCTCTCTTTCCGCTCAGAGACTGGCCAGAAGTCAAGGGAGACAAAGTACCCTGCGCCGTATTGCGTTACCACACCTTGCCCTGTCCTTGTCAGGGTTGCGCCCAGTCCTTTTCGCGCCGTACCTGGCCAGGTCGGGAGGAGAGTTGCGGGTACTAAGAGCAGGTACAAGGTCTGGATAGCAACAAGCCTGCACTGTATGTACCTTTAGTAAGGTAGGTAGGGTAGCCGCGGTGGTGCGTGTACATGTGGTTGATGCTCGACAGGAGTGGGAGGTGGCGGTGGTGGTGTCCTCTGAGTCTGACGCAGCACAGCTTGGGCTTTCTTTCGCATTTCCTGTCCATGGATTTCCGAAAGAGAGCAAAACGGCCAGTGGGAGGCGAGGGCCGCCGCTCCTATGAACCCTGTTCAAAACCTTCCCGCACCGAACAGCAGCGGCAGACTGAAGGGCGAGTCCGCAGATGTGGTTGCACTCTTGATTCTCGGATACCTTTCAGGTACTCAAACAATCGAGCCTGGCCCTGGCCGCCATTATCGTCTTGACTTTGCGAGGTTGTGATCAAGTAGTGGCTAGCAGTAGTGGGACTACCACAAAGCGGCAGACGTCGTCCTTGAATTGGCAGTTGTTGTTGCTGCTGCTGCTGCTGCAACATATCGCCTCGTCTCTCCTGCCGTCGATATCTCGTGGCTTATTCGTCCGCGTCTGACTTCATTTCCTCTCATCTCGTGGCATACATGGAGCGAGCATTTCAGACACATTGTCCAAATACACACCCCTCCGATCCCCTCACTGTGTCTCTTACTCTCTCTTTACCCCCTCCTCTTCCCCTCCTCCTTTGGTGAGGGGCTGGTGCACTAATAGCCATAGAAACCGCCTAGTCTAGCAGGTCGGAGGTCGTCCGTACTAGTCCCAGTTGACCGACCATCTTGTTCCGCTTTCCTGTCAGGGGCTGTCTCGCGCGGGTGTACATTGTATGTAGCACGGTGCGAATGGTCCACTACCTACGCTTGTCAAGGTTGCGCGAGCGTTGACGACAGAAATGACTGTTGCCAGTGCATCGGAAACTCTATCTCGGTCTGACAGGAGGCCCGAGATCCCCTATTGCCCATTGTGCAAAGTCTGTCAAGCCCTGTAGCGGGAAGTTCCCACGTTGCTCTGAGTCTCGGGCAGGATGGCCACCGCCTTGTCTCGTTTCCTTGCTTAACTTTTGTCGAATTGCCAATCTGCCAAGAAGGGCTCGGTGCTTTGGGAATCACCTTGTACGTGATTTGTTCTCGCGCTGGCTGCGAGGCAAGCTCCGAACCAAGGACCTGCATGCTTCCCCAAGCGGTGAAGCGGCAGCCTGTGCTGTGGGTTGTCAAATATGTACATAGCTTTGTTTCTGTCGACAAGCCTGGCGACAGTCTGTGCCGCGCACTGCCTGCGTTGCATCGCTTTTCGGGACTTGGATAACCCTGTGCGACAGCGACGTGCTTTCCCCAGATCGAACGAGTACGTCCAAAAGATCTGGACATTAATGCCAACCGTCACACCGTTGCGTTGCCCGCGAGCTTAATTGACAACAGACTTTGCTTCTCGCAACGGGTTTCGTTAATGAGGCGTTGGCTCGAGGTATCCGTAGACAAGGACTCTGATGACACGTCTGTGCCATGGTCGTCGAGGATCGGCTCAACTGAGTAGACAGACAAGGGCTGTTCGCCAACGAGCAGGATAGGATGTGCACATGGGTTACGTAGAGCATCGACTCTTATTTGGTCACCCAAGCCACCCAGGCCCTGCCGTTGCGGGCCTGCCCAAACGACAAATCGCTTGTCAATGGGGAGCTCCGTTCGCCGTTGATGCCGATTAGCCCCCTCATCGTCAGAAGCGAAGAGGCTCATTATCCGGGCCAGCATCAAGCCCTCTCGACTTTGAAGGACCCAGCGACGCTGCTCGTGTGGATGATTCCTAGTTTGC